CCCCTCCATCCTCGCCTGGGCCACCACAGGTGCCCCTGATACAAGTGATTGCAAGCTGGTCATGCCTACCCTGGCCACACCCACCTGGCCCCCAGGGTCAAACACAACCCTGATGAACCCCTCAATGAAACTGAGTTTGACACCCCTGTCCTAAGCAAATGAAGACCCAGCAACTCCAGTAACAAAAACAGGAATCATCTACAATCATCTACAATATAGTAACTGCAACACCCACTATGTAGGACAAACAGGCAGAATACTGGCAGAACGCATCCATGAACACCAACGAGCAGTCAGAAGACGTGATAAAAACTCGTTAATTTCACAACATATAGACAGACTTGACCATGGTTTCAATTGGGAAAATGTGACCATCCTGAACCAAGCCAAGTCCAAAAATTCCAGGGAATTTCTAGAAGAATTTCTCTAACAAATTAGCCACCAACACACACATAAACATTAACTACAGACTATGCAAAACAGTCAACAAGCCAAAAAAGGGAACAAAAAGACCCAAGCACCTCTCCATCAGCAATCAGCACCCAGATCAGCATAGATTAACTCCAGTATTAATATCAGACCAATAATCAAGTAAACAATACCCCAGTCAAGAAACTGCCAAAGAAGCCAACAGAAAATAGCCCAACCTAAGACTCTCTAAGACCATCCCCACCAAAACTGACAGGGCAAGTTATCAGAATATGCATGTATTTTTTTGCACTATAAGACGCTCCAGACCATAAGACATACCTAGCTTTTGGGGAGGAAAACACCGGAAAAAAATCTGCCTCTTCCTTCCAGCAATTTGTCTCCTTGCAGCAAACAGCAAATAGCCTGGTCAGCTTCAGCACAGCCTGATTTAGCATGAGCAGCTGATTGGCGGTTAGATCGGATTCCAGAATACTGAGGATCAACTGTTCCAGGCTGCGGGAATCACCGCAGCCTATCGCCGCTGCCGTTCATACCATTCACCACCTAGAACAGGCCAAAATGGGATGCGCGGAGGCCTAAAACGGCCGAGGTGGGGCAGCAGCTGGCAGGGGCTTTAGCAACATTCTCTCTATAAGATGCACATTTCCACCCACTTATGGCAAACTTACGGCAAACTGACAGCAACTGATCCTAGCACTGATGATGTTACCTAGTTTGGGTAATGAAATGTCTGCAAGAAAACAAGCAAGCTCAGAGAACACCAAGGAACCCTCAGTTTCTAACTATCTATTTTTTTAAAAATTCTTTTTTTACTTTAATATAAAATAAAATTTATTTTTTTAAAAAAATAGAAGTGCAAACACATTCTACCCTTTCATATTATTTTCTGCTTCAACATGTGAATGTTTGCAATTACTGTTTAAAATTTAAGAGTAAATAAACATTAGATGCACAATTGGAACTGCAAATGGGATCTGTTTGCAAAACAAGTCATACTTTTAAAAAGAGGATGCAATACTGAACAGCTTAAAACATTTTTATGTTCCAAGTCTTCAAATAAAAGAGATGGATTTTCTGTGCTAAATTGTTTCAATTTACTTATTTACTTCTGAATATAACTGTTTAGCTTATATTAAGGAAGAGAAAAAATCACATGAAACAGACTAGGAACAGTGATAAAGACATGAATTTGAAGCCAGGGATATATAATGAAAGCCTCTGCCCAATAATTACATTCCTTAAATCAATCAGTCAATCAATCAATCAATCAATCAAACTAGCTAGCTGGCTCATCTAGCTAATGTATTCTTCTATTCTAGCATTTATACTCAAATGCATTGTTACCATTTTGGTAAAACTTTCTGAAACATGCGTACAGAAAACTAGTGTGAACATTCTTCCCCAAAAGGGAGGGTGAGGCAGGCCCTAACATTCCTGGACTTTTGGAAATGTCTGAAGAACTTACTCTGCCATCTTGCTTGGGGCTCACAGAGGATCACCAATCTATGCGGCTCATTAGAACCTTGAAGGCCTTCCTCCCACCTTTTAAACTTTGAATTTCAACTAATGTTGCCTCCAAATAGAATATTTATATACAGTTTTTATGTTTTTATATTTTACTTGTACACCACCCAGAATTCCTGTGAAGGAAGCAGACGGTTCCTAAGTTTGACATACAAATAAACAAGTGACATTTCACAATTAATTTCAGAGGATATACCTGCAATACTATTCAGTTACTTAGAAGTCAATTCCATAACACAAGGATCTTCATCTCTGATTGCATATTAATAAGCATCCAGCACAAAAGCGTTTTAGCCAATTTCAATGCAGTCTTTAGCTTTTATTCAGAAATGCTAATATTTTGCAATCAAATGGCCTTTAAGCCACTAGAGAGTATGTGGGCCACCAAGAAGAGACAAATATCTGGGTTCATTCTCTGACATTTCCACCTTCAACTATAACAGATATTGAAAGTCTATTTGTTTGTTTATTTTCCCTTTATTATTTTTATGAATAACTTAAGCTGGTAAACATACCTTATATTCCTTTCTCCTATTCAACAATTGAGAGTGATTGTCCTTGTGCCAGTCACTTTCTCAGCCTACCTCACAGGGTTGTTGTGGGCAAAGAGAGTGTGGCTGGTCCAAGGTTATCCAGCCAGCTTTCATGCCTAAAGTTGGACTGGAACTCAATCTCCTGATTTCTTGGCCACCACCTTAACTATTAAATTATTTCTGAAAGCCACCTGCTTTCACTTTGCCTTTTAAGTTGCCAGATAAATGTTTCCATCCTTCAATGACTAATTAATGTAAATTGCTCCTAATTTTTTTCCTTCTCATAGCAGAAAAATGGAATCCTGTAGAGATTATGAGCTCTGACTTTATGTTTCAGTTCTAACCTGAAGAGGTCTATAATGACCTGCAGGGCAAATCTGGTTCACATCAGCTACTACATTAATTTTTAGCCTGCTATTTAATACAGGTAGTTCTCAACTTATGACCACAATTAAGCCCAAAATTTATGTTACTAAGTGAAACACTTGAGTTTTGCCCCATTTTATGACCTTTCTTGTCACAATTGTTACGTGAATCACTGCAGTTGTTAATAATATGCTTAAGTGAATCTGGCTTCTCCATTGACTTTGTCAGGTTGCAAAAGATGACCCTGGGACATTGCAACCATCACAAGTCATTTGCCAAGCACCTAAATTTTGATCACGTGACCATGGGAATGTTGCAATAGTTGTTAAGTGTGAAAAAGGGTCATAAGCCACTTTTTAAAGTGCCTTGTAACTTCAAACGGTCACTAAATGAACTTTTGTAAGTCAAGGCCTGCTTGTAAAGTTTTAGATTTTTTTTTCTGTATCTGCCACAAAAAAAATCAGTCCAGCTACTTCAATTATGTATGGTTCAGATGACTTCTCTCCCTACCTCAAATGCCTCCATTCTTGCCAAAAATGTATCTCCTCCTCTCTAATGCCTCATATAGCAACTTTATAGTATTTAACATTCTACATCTTATTTTCCCCTTGACCATTTACTGTTAGCTTTCTGATAGGCAGGTACATACAGAATAACTTTTTGAACCACCAGTCTCTTACCTAAATGAAAAACAAATCACACTACGTTGTCCATCTTGATTTAGTCCTGAGTCTAATAAAACAAAACCTTTACTTCAACCTCTGTAAGCTCATTGAGCATGTAGACTGACATTGCTTTAATAGAAGCAAGACAAATTCAGCTGGATTGGTTTATGCTTAGATGCTATTCTTGATGTCTGTATGAATACATAGAATCATATATTTATATTTCAACTGTAACTACTGAAAATCTATTGAGTGGATCAAAGAGAAATGAATTCTGAAGAGATATGGTTTCTCTGCCTGTCATGCTGTTGTAAACAGAGAGAATTATGTTGATATAAAGCTACTGGTGGCAGTTTTGAGATGGATAGTATTAATGTAAGACCTGTACAATGGGGTGTTGGGAATCTGCTGGATCCAAAAACCTATAAATCCCTCTGATGGATTCCAAAACTGTGCCTTTTGAGTCATATCAACCTACATATGAAGTTATGAAAGTCTATCTTCTCCTGCATTCTGGGTTTCCTTTTCTAGTTTTGGACACAGAAAAATATTAGATGTTATTTTCCTTAAGAAAATTGGGAACTTAATTTTATACATACATCAGTCATTTTTCAGTGGAGTAAGCTCTCAAAAGCACTTTAACGTTGCCTGTTGAAAAAGCATCTTTGCGATAACCTGGGTGACTGAGAATCTCCAGACACTTTAAATTCAGGTATCTTTCATATCTATTCCTCTGGCTTATAGTTTTTTCATATTCTGCATAATGCTTACCCTGAAAGGGACATAAAGTTAATTTTGTTAATTTCCAACAAATAGGGGTACCTAAATTTTGCCTCTAGAATAATGCATGAGCTTTTTTGAAACTCTTGGGATCACGAGTTACATGTAGGAAGACTGCAATTTCATACATTCGAAGAGCGCTACTTTCCTCTAGAAGACCCAATTCTACACCGTTGGCGCAAGCACAGCCTGCGAATACAAACTCTTTGGCTTCTTCAATAAGGAAAAAAAAGCAAGAAAGCACTTTCTTAGGGACTTAAGATCCGGCCATCGGCGCACGTGAATTTCTCCTGCAAACTCCTCCTCCTTCTCCCAGCCGCTTTCCAACCTCTTGGCCGTCTCCGACATTCCGATTGGCTAATCTCTCCACCTTTGACCTCTAACCCGGCTTGCCTCGCCAATCGCGCTCGTTCTTTTATTTTATTGAGTAAACGGCGAGGAGGCGGACGGGAGAAGAAAAGGGCACGCGGTGAGAAAGAGAGAGAGAGAGAGAGAGGGAAGAGAGCGAGCGAGCGAAGCGACGTGATGTTAGGTGAGTTCGTCGCGTGGGTGTCGCGAGCCCGGACACGCTGCCTGAGGAGAGAGAAGCGTTGACTTTTCAGGCTGCTGTTTTGCGCCGACGGCGTGGCATTGGGCCTTCTCGAGGAAAGCGCGGGGGTGGAAACCCCCCCCCCTTTTTTTTTGCGTAGGCAGGGGCGGGGAGGAAGCTTGTCGCAGCCGGCCCCAGGTAAATGGAGGAACCTGACAGTTGAGAGGAGGAGGAGGCGGCGGCGACCAAGGTGAAATGGCGGCGGCAGTTACCAATGGCGGCACAATGAGGCGACGCCTGTAACCGGGTAAACTCCGGACTGTCCCACCTGGCAGGTAGGAGGCGCCGTTGGCCCTTTTCTGTCGCTCCCCGCCTCTGGTTTCGCTTCCTTGGGTCGAGTTGGCTCTTTCCAGGTTTTACTCCCTGGCTTGAGGGCCCAGCATTTGATGCTTGGCTGGAGTCGCCTTTCTTTCCTCTCATCGGAGCAGCTGGTCGCCACTTGGGAACGCCGGGTCGAAAAAACCGTGTTAGAAGCAGCCTTTGTCTTCCACCCGAGCGGGTGCACTCGAGGCCTCTCCTTAAGTTACCCGCCGGCCTCTCTTTTTCCCCCGAAGGTGGCGCGGTTTGGAAAAAGCTTACGTGGTTTTTTCCTTCTCTTCTTCCCACGACCACCTTCTCTTTAAAAATAAATAAAAAATCACAAAATCGGTTAATCCAGGTACATATGTCTTTGTGTTATAATAAGTTGGCTTTGAGCATTCTTGAAGGAAATTTGGGGTGGGGATTTATGACTTTTTTCCAATAACATCTGCCAGTTATACTAGGCTTTCCTATCGATCTCGCCCATTTGGGTGCAGTGAATTGGGGTTGATAACGCAACAATTACCGCCGTTTTGTTTCAAGTTCGAGGCGGTATTATTGTTAACTCCTCTCTGAGTTGGACGTGAATAGCTTTGCTAGAGTTCACCAGGACCTACCTTATTTGCCATGTTAAGTTAATCTTTTGTAGTGGATTGAGAAGAAGGACATTGGACACCGACTTTAAAGAGATCCTTTCATTCAGAGTGATTAGCTGCCATTTTTCAAATTCTCTTCCTGCAATGTCTGGGCCAGAACATAGGAAAATTCTACATTTATCCCTCTTTCTTTTTTCCAGTTTCCTCCCCTGCTTGTTCTTTGATGCTACTCTAAGTGTAGTTTCTGAGAAATAAGAATGCCTCAGTATAACGTGGGACTACAGAGATTTTATTAAAGCAATCCTCAACCGTCTAAATATAGATAGCTTTGAAATAGATATATGGACATCTAGTAAACTCATTATAAACCTATGTCACCCATATCTGTTTTTTTTTTAAATATCTATGTCAGGACATTGTTGCAAGTATTGTTTTTTCCCCCACTACAATTCTTAAACTAACTTTTCTTTAACCTCTGTATCCCTCTCAAGTTGCCATTGGACAAAATATGCCTATCAGTGTAACAGTTTTGTTGTTTCTGATTTCTAGTTGCCTTCTGTCTGGCAAATTGGAAACAAGACCCCTTAACACAATGTAAATAACAGTCTGTTGTAGAATTTTTTTAAAAATGCTTTATCTCTGGAAATGTTATATGTAAATATATATTGAATTAATGCTTCAAATTGTGTTTTAAACGTGGGAAATCCTAGGAAATTGAATTTGATTGTCATTGTTTTTAATAAATAAATCGAGGTTCAGGTAATATAAACTGTCATATTCCCAATTTGATTTGTAAAGGAAGTTCCACAAATGCTCTGTGGCAGTTGTATTTTGTTATAGATAAGCATATTTTTAAAGTTGAATTCAATTGATTTTTGAGCAATGCAGGAAGAATACCTTCTTAGGGAAGTTTATTAATGCAAATGCAGTGCACAGTATGTGTTGTCTTATCTACAATTCCTTTGGACCTCAGTAGTGAGAAGAACCTACTTTTCTCATATTAGACTACAGGTTACATTGACTTGGCATTGTTGTGACATCTGTTAATCGTTACACTATGAGATATGGACCGGTACAACCAGATTATACTTTGCTCTAAGCCAGGAACATATACATATAGTGTAACTGAATGCAATGCTTTATTTTTTCATTGCAAAGCCAAGAAATTTAGTTAAATCTGTGGCTTAGGAAAGCAGATACGAAATTGCAAAACAAGATACTGCAAAGCATGTACTTGCCACAAGCATTTCTGTTCAAGATAAAAACTGGACCCTGCTACACAGATTTGCAGAGAAATGAATGTATGTGATAGTCTTATTAAACGATTGAGAGGGCAAAAAAATGGAACTGGTTAACATCTAATAATATGAATGCATTCCTTGTAATGGTTAGATCTTTCCCAAACTGAAGCAAGTGTTTAATATATAGTGAAAATGTTTACAGAATGGAAAAGTCATTAGTAATTCATAGGGATATAATCAGTGCCATCAAGTACTTCTGTTCATTCCTACATCTCTATTCTCTGGAATGGGTTTTGAGAAAAAGAGAAATAAATGTACGCTGAATAAAGGCAAATGTACACCATTCAATAAAACCCAAATTTAAAAAAATATCAGCTATAGCACTCAATTATTGGAGTGCTAAATGAATAATTGTAGCTGTAGCATAACCAGAAACAGCCATTTTGATTATCACTTAAATAGAAAATTAGGATGGCATCTTTTTAAATTCTCTTGTATTAACTGAGGAGAAAGTGGAGGTGATTTGTAGTATAATGACAACTTCTAATATTATACTTGTAGCACAAGATTATTTAAGATGGATATGAAACATTATTGTATTGCCATCTTTTGCTGCAATGAAAAGACCTTAATTCTTCTTTTAGATTAGTCTTAACAAATATTCCTCTGGTTTATCCTGTTTAGGATTTTTGAACAGAGAGACTGAAAGGCTAAAGACTACTAAAAGGCTAAATAAAGACTTTTGGCTTTTTAATATCAAAGAGAATTCAAACATCACATTTTTCTGTATTTAATTTCTCTACCCCCTAGTTTTAATAGCTATACTGTAAACACTAATATTGCTTTATAGCATATAGCAGTAGAATTTAATTTAAAAGCTTGTCTAAGCCATAAAATAAATGTTAGACTGAAAATTGAAAATGCTATAACTTATTCTTTGTTTTACAATGAAATTTCATGTCAGCTTCTTAGGACAGAAATGAAAATTAAAGGTGAAAAAAATGAGCAAGCTGACTGTATCCAGATTTTATCAATCCACTCTTTATTTAAAAGATTGTGCTGTAAAGTTGCCAGTACTCTTAATACTGAAGGATATGTCCACAGGGTATATTAAAAGTTGGTTTTGCACATGTATTTATTATTGCTTCATTTATGCAAGACCTCTATAGGGCAAAAACTTGACAAAGCATATAGAGATTCATTTTAATCAAATTATCACAAGAAAATTAGTGTTCTTAATGAAACACAGGTAATCTCTTAAACAGTTTTACTGCCATTTTTCAATGTGAGAAACGTGTTCAAAGAATCTGTTATAGCCTTTTCAGGGTTGCATAATTCAGGGCAAGTTTTCTTAGCAGCAATGCAGTCTTCTAGTATTATTCACATGATATAACAATTTTTAACTAAATACTGAATAATTCAAATATTATTTAAGAGACTTTGTTTAGCAAAACAAAACTGGAGAATTGATAATACATTTTTGAGCACCATGTTGAACAGTGGCAAAATTGTAGAAAATATACAACAGATACAATTTGGAAAACTGTTGAGGGCTCTTAAGTCATTAACATATTTCTATATTTGCTTTGTATAAAGTATTTGAAGTCTACATTGATGTCACTTGGATTTTCATGACAGTCTCTATTCATAGCTTAGCGCCAGGTTGGAAAACAGTTTTGCCCCTCGATTTGCATAAAGCAGTCAATCCCCATGTCTACCTCTTTCTGTAAATATATACAGTACACATATAAAAAGACATGCTCTCTTTCCAGGTTTTGAACACAATTGCAGGGAAGAAGCCTTGTCATTCTTTGTGATATTTCTGTGAGTTATTTTTGGAACAGTGATCTGCAGAAGATTGACCGGGAGATGGGGAATGAAATGTGCCATTCCAAATGTCTCCCAAACATGTTGTTAGAATATGCTTTTTTTTCCAGCACTATTGAGTGCTTTTTCATAGTATCTTTGTCCATTCAGCAAACTGGAAGAAACTAAAAGTTCATCCTTGCAATCTACCATATAAGGCTGCAAAGAAATTTTGAGAATTGCAGTATATGTTGCAAGATACAGTACAGCATACTGGCTGTATATTCATAATATCTACCTTGATGGATGAGAAGAGTGATATTTCACGCTCCGTTTCTGCTTCTAATCACTACTTAAGAACTGATTATTCTTAATTATTCTAAGATGGTTAAGACTTAAGTGAAAAAAAAGTATTGGGACAATTTCTTCATCTAGAATGAATTCATCCAATGTAAATATTGCAAGAAAAAATGCTTTTAATTCCTAATTATTGTCATATGAGAGAGAGGGGTTGAAGCCAGGAGGAAGTGCTTGTTTGTTGTAGCCCCACATTATAGAACAGCTTCCCCATGGAAATTAGACTTTATGTGTACTTTATATTGTTGTTTTATGCATACACTGCTGAGTACTCCGCAGTTGTAGCAATATAAAAATCTAATAAATATTTCTTACCAGGATTTAGCAATGGAATGTTCTTCAGAATGATCTGCATATACAGTTACATTTGTTCCTTTTTTCCATTGTCGTCATCATGGTCAAATTGTTAAAATACTAATATTTTTAGATCAACTAATTGATATTATTTACATTCATCAAAATACGAGTGTCTACAAGTTATCTTCCTCTGTGTATACACTCTTAAACTGACTTGGTCTTAGATTGTTTTGATGCTGGAAAAATTTCAATCACAGAGGGAAAGTATTTCTGTAGGAGAAAAACACAAATGCCAACAGATTCCTTCAATTCAAAAGAATATAGACATCCCCGAAATTCCACTTAAGATGTTACTTAGCCTGATAAAGAAACATTTGGAAACCAGCTCACAAGCTGGGAGGACAAATCTTCAAATATTACCTTAATAACGATAAATTTTAAGATCGATTTAGATCTGGATTTGACAATCTTTTGATATCAGTACTATCTAATTGTATTTAGAAATTGAAGACACTATGCTTGGATTAATTTTTTTCTCTATTATACTTGAGCTTTTCTATTTTTATTTGAGAAAAGGCAAAATTAACTGTCAAATGAATTTGCAGTGGATTTGTTTAGATTTAAAAAACAGTTGAGATTTTATTTATATCCTACTTTATTTTATAAGTAAGATGACAAACACACACTATACTCCTAATTTCTTCACAACAGTAACCCTATGAGGTGGATTGGGGCTGAGAGAGCGCAACTGGCGCAACTGGTCCAAAGTTGCCAGTGGGCTTTCATGACTAAGGCTGGATTAGTTTCCTGGCTTCTAATCTGATGCCTAAACCACTGGACCAAACTAAGATAACATATATCACCCAGACTTCTATATTCAGAAATCAAGAAAACATATATTGCAATTATTGGTCTTTCATGGCCTTGGTCAGTTGCTTTTTTCCCCCTCTCCATTCAGTGAAATATATAAATAGACAAATAGTAACTATGTGTTCAAAATGCAAGGAAATACAAATATCTGAAAAGTAGCTGAATTTTTTTCTTACTTCATTTGACATAGTAAATTATAAATTTGATATTTGTCTATTGAGATTCTTAATCATCCAGGTCATGAGTGTCCCAAAGATGTTTTTTCCCAAAGGCAACTGGACTTTCTTTTTTCCTTTGAAAACATTTTAGTTCTCATCCAAGAACTCAGAACTCAGTTCTAACAATTACAACTGACGAAGCTTCCTGGATAAGAAGTGAAATATTTTCAAAGAAAAAAACCCAAGAAAATCCAGTTGCCTTTTGGAAAAAAAGCACCTTCAGGACAATGCTGATATTTGTTACATGTACAAAAGAAGAATTTTATGTTTTCTACCGTTACCACATTTATTGTAGAAGCTATTGGTAGACTTATTCGGCTTTGCTGTATTATAGATGAATGGATTATCTGCTCGTTTTTTATTAGATGGTACATTTTTCAAGATTTTCTGTCTGCTTCCACAAATTATTTTGTAAAATTAATTCAAAACATCTAAAAGTACTCCTTTTGCAACAGTTTTCAGAATGCCCACAAGAGGGGCTAATCTGATCTATACTGTGGGATTTGTAGCAATTCCTCATTAGATGTTCTATTCAGCCTAGCCAATAACTGGTTGGAGTAGGTAGAGATTGCACACCAATGATCATTGTATCGGCAGCAACTCTTGACTTCTGTTCTCTCCCACTCAGACTCAGACAGCCTTTAGATCAGATATATCCAACCTGTGGGCCGCATGCAGCATTAGACAGTAATAATAATAAAAAATATTTTAAAATTAACTATATTACATATATTTTATATTTGGCCCTGGACAATTCATTTTCACTTAGTGTGACCCGGGCAAGCCAAAAGATTGGACAAGCATGCTTTTAGATACCGGAAAGGATATTGACAGCATCTCCTTCAGGCCAAGGACAGTGATGTATAATTAAGTATCAGTAGCATATTGATGATATCAAACTTCAAACTGCCAAATGACCTTTCCCAGGGGATTCCAACAGATGCTAACAACAGGGAAGATAGGACTGACTCATAGTACCCCTCATATCAAGAGCTAAAGGCCAACCTCTGTTCCTCCACAAGAAGTGATTTAACTTTCCTGTCAACTCAAAACATTTTGTATACACATTTTATAGTTGTCAACAGAGAGAAGGGAGGGGGAGTTTCAAAGAGCAACATCAAGGGTGACAGTGAACTATGTATCTCAGAGTTACGTATTTCAGGCTAATGCCAAAATGTTAACTTCTAATAATTTTTAGTTTGGGGAGTATGGCTCGAGGCTCATGATTTAATTGGAATAACTGCTGGAATCCTGACATTTCCACCCTGAGCAAAGTGTGAAACTATTAGAAAACAATCTCTCCTGTCCCCAACTCTTAGAGGGAGTTTCATTTTGCTCAATGAAATTGTGTTCAATAATATCAAAAACTATGAAGACGTCCAGTAAGACAAATTGTCCAGTAAGACACACTACTCCTATAATTGATTGAGAAAAATATACATAAATATATAAAACAATCTGCTGTTAGTTTCCTGTTTTGAAGCTCAGCTTTATAATGTAGAATATATTCTGTTTATTTTGTTAATTTACTTCCCCTTTGAGGTTTTGTAAGATGAAATTACTTGGAAACATTAATTGTATTTAAAGATAATTGATTGCATCTAAATATGCTTATAATCTTTTCAGCCTTTATTCCTTTAAAATCACATTTTGGTTTTAAATTAATATTTCATATAACTAATCTAAATCTTGGTCAAAGAAGAAATCACAATGATAATCTTGCAATTAAATTTTTCATTTTATTTTTAAAAATGTTTATAGAGCCTTCTAACAAGACTTTTCTTCTATTAAATGAACAGGAGCTTGACAGTGATGTGAATACCATACACACCATACACGCAGATATAATGGTGTCAGAATGCAGTTCAGAAAGCATATGCGCAGAGATCTCAGAAATTAATACAGTAAGTTGATGACAGTTAATCTGCACAAAATTATCCATTACTACATTTTTGAAAAGTATCTGGAAAAAATAGAGAAAATAAGAAATGACAATCTAAATTAATTAGTAGCTATTATTTCAAAATTGCCTTCTTAAAGTGATATTGAAAAGTATTGTAATAACAGCTGTCTATATTGTGTGTTTTTAAATTTTATATCCCATATTCCATATTAAATTGTGTATAATTTATTGTGAAAAATGTGGATTGATCATATATATATGTATGTATGTATGCATGTATGTATCTGTGTATATGTATATTTTCTAAGGTTTTCGCAGGTATTTTTATGTGGATCTTTGGTTATTCGGGTTTTCTCCCATGTAAAATTGGAAGTATCTTGGCAGCGTTTCGACGAAATCTCATTCGACATCTTCAGGCTTGTGTCTTTGGCTTTGTGCTTCTCGGAGTGCTCCGAGAAGCACAAAGCTGAAGACACAAGCCTGAAGATGACGAATGAGATTTTGTCGAAACGTTGCAAAACGTTTCAGCAGAATCTCATCTGCCATCTGTATAGTGTGTGTGTTTGTTTGTTTTCTTAAGTTTTCGCGGGTACTTACATGTATGGTATTCAGCTTTGTTCGGGTATTTTCCCACATCATTATAGTTGTGCTTTTAAAGTTGTAGCAACGTTTCAGCAGAATCTCATCTGCCAAAATCAAGCTTCATCATCATATGAACACAATACAGGAGCCTGATGATGGCAGATGAGATTCTGCCAAAATGTTGCTACAACTTTAAAAGCACAACTATAATGACGTGGGAAAATACCTGAACAAAGCTGAATAACATACATACATACATACATACATACATACATATATACTTACATACATATGAAACACAAATGGCTGTAAGATAGACAAAATATTTTTTGTAATTATTTGATTTATTCATTTATTCATTTCACCTAATTGACTCTGTGAAGTTTACAATATTGTAAACAGCCCAGAATACTAACAAGATTAATATTTTTTTCCTATGTGTACTTCCTTAACATTGACTGTCAGGTACCTGCCTTAAGAGATAGACTTTTGCTATGATGTTACACAGTTTTAAAACAAATTATTTAAAAAAATTACATTAGAAAGGCTAGCAGAATTTTAATTTTAGTATCCTTAAGATTCAGAATGTTTGAATATGCTTATAGTGAATGAATTGGCAGGGAAAACTGCTGAAGTTCGAGTGAAGAGCCAAGGTTACTGTAGTGCCAGATGTAATATGAAATCACAATATGCAAGTATGTGAAGTTCATATCCTTACATAAATTATTCTGTCTGAAAAGAAGTAATAGTTTATTTTCAAAGATAAAATCCTCCTAAAGCCATTTCTTAATATAATTAATTCCCTAGCGCTACTTGCAACATGGTGTCTGTCAGCTATGTTCCTATGGATTGAGCAGTCAGTTCCAAGTAATGATCATAATCTATGGATTCTGCCTAAACCCTCACACTTAGTTTCCCCTCCTCTTTTTACCTTTGATAAAATTTTGTATAACTGGAACATGACACTATTAAAAGAAAAAGTGTTGAATTACAGCTGTTAACAACTGAATCGTACTAGTTTTTCTACAACTGTTTACTCAAGTATCAGTTATAATACGAGTTAGCAACAGTGCAATCCCATTTTTGTCTACCCAGAAATAAGTTCCATTTAGTTCAGTGGGTTCTCTGCTCAGTTATGTATAAGATTAGAAAGTGAAAATATTTTCAAGGGGCTTTATTGGGCAATAGAAATAGCTTTTCATTTTCAGTATGCACATAATTGTACAGAATTTTGAAAGAAATATTTTTATTCATTCATAGTTTTCTAGCAAGTAGGCTGTCCAGTAACCATGTATGAGTTGAATGGTCATATAGTTTTGTTTAATAAATAAATGAGGACCACCTTTGTACAAAAATAGTTATACACCGGAGACAAATTCCTTATGCCTCCAATCACACTTGAGCAATAAAGAATATTCCTATTCCTAAAAATAGGAACAATGTGATTAAGAATTTATAGCATGTTTGCTTTGGACTTTATCCTCATTTTTAAAAATGAAAATGTAAAATTTGTATATGGGTATTTCATAAATATTGAATTGAACCAAAGAATAGAAAGTTTATAGTTGTTGTATAAAATGAATGCTGCTTTTGATAGCAATTAATATATCTATAGGAAAATGCTTGTATCCTTTGTATATTAATCATGGATAGGAGATCAGATTGATTGAGTTCTGAAGTTGCATGTTTTCACTGTATTTACTCTCTTAAGCATGAATCCCTTCCCATGCCAGACCTTGATTTAGGCTTTTTTTGCCTAAATATTGTTAGTGCTGCACACTATTTTTTTGTTGTTGTTTTTGCCCCTGAATTAAATTAGTATTAGAAGTTAAATGGAATTTGCATTCTGAAGAGTAAAGTTTGCCTGGAAGATGAAAAGTAATGCAGTATCATCACAAGTTCTTACTATCCTCCAATTTCATGGAGAATCTTACTGGTGATACATATTCATTTACATTCTACTTTTTCCATTCAATTAAATTCTCATTGTTCTGAATATTGTCACTTAGTATTTAAATATTTGTTCTTTATAGATTTATTAAATTCTTTTAAATAGCATAAAACAATGGATATGCTTCTGTAACCTGTCTGTTATGTTTTTCATTACAGGTAGTCCTCAACTTACGACCACAATTGAACCCAACATTTCTGTTGCTAGTCATTTGTTAAGTGAGTTTGCTCCATTTTATGACCTTTCTTGCCAAGTTGTTAAGTGAATCACACTGTACTTGTTAAGTTAGTAACATGATTGTTAAATGAACATGGCTTCTCCATTGACGTTACTTGTCAGAAGGTTACAAAAGGTAACATGACCTCAGGATACTGCAACTGTCATAAATATGAGTCAGTTAAGCGTGAATTTGGATGACATAACCATGGGGATGCTGCAAGGGTCATGAGTGTGAAAACTGGCCATAGGTCCCTTTTTCACTGCTTTTGTAACTTCAAACAGTCATTAAATGAACTTTTGTAAGTTGAGGTCTACCTTTATATACAACACATATATACAGGTATCAAAATTATTTTGTTACTACTTGACATTTTTTTCAACATTTTCCAGAATAGTGTGCAAAATATTGAATATGGTCTCTATATTATAAACAAAATCAATGAAGGCTGGAAGGTCAGTGTAGCATAGGTGAATGAGCAGTCCCATAGTCGTTGGTTTAAACCTCATCCTGATCACTAGCTCACTAAGGCTGCAATTCTGTTGTTCATTGGATAATACTTTTTGAATCTTTTTCTATAAGAAGAGAGGCAGATAAGACCTTTGTGGAGTAGAATAGATTTTTGATAGCCCGGAAATATATGCGTCAAGATTAAAGTTAGAGGGATTTCCTAGACAAGCCACATAATATACTCCATGTATCTTGAATGTTCCTGGACATTAGATCCAATAATGTAGTTCTTGTTTCCCCATTACTACCAATCAAAAAGAAAGAGTTCAGTGTATAGTAAGAATAAGAAGACATTCAGTGATATCTCTCTTCTACTTCTGTTCAGCAGAATTTTGTTTCCTAAGAGACAACTATGAATGCCAAATTATAAGATTACAGATAGTAATTTAGGAAAAAAATTCTAGATGTAAATCCATTGAATTTGCTTGGATGTACTTTTATTTTGTACATAAAATGCAAATTAGTCCTCTACTTTGTAAATGTTATTTTTTAGACATTTTATCAGATGCTTTTTACTGAAATAAAAAGATTTTTGAAATATGAAATAAACAAGAATTATCCTGTTTAATTTCAAATTCAGTGTGAAAGTGATTCATATTGTTCTTGTCATATGAAATGTCCACAAATGCTTAGAATGCTAATATAAGAAAAGTTAAAATTTGTCCTTCTCCCCAAGATGGCTGCTGAATGGTGGGAATTTTTCCTTTTCCTGCTGACGTTCTGCTGATTTTGCTGCCAAAGCTAGTTCTCTGGCAGTGCTGCCTCCTGAATTTAAATGGGAGCACTTAGGAATGACCCAAAACACTTTTGAATGGCTATGGACCCACCTAGGAAGGGGAATGTTGAAGATTGTGGGAGCGGTCGGAAAATCATTGGGCATCTTCCTTTCAGCAGTTTGCTTTCTAAGTATGCCTGGGTTTTAACTTAAACTTTTTGAATGTATTGTTTGGTTTTACTTTTTGTCTTAAAGTTGACTGGCTGGCTTGAATGCTGATTTACTTTAATCCCCTGCTGTACTTTATCTGGTCCCCCCCACCCTTTTTTTTTTTCCTTCTGATTTATGTCTTGAATAATTTTCACTTTTCTGTATGGAAACTCAGCATGCTATTGAATGAAAGTGTTTTGATTTATGTTGATATTAGACTTTCACCACAGGGTTTCTGCATTTTATTAATTTGTCAAATATTTGAAAAATTTTTTTTTCATTTTTCTTTTAATTTTGGGTCGAAAATATTCAGACAATATTTTTTCACTCTGCTTCAATGTTCTTGGTTCTTTGGCTAACTCACACAGCAATAATGTATTGAATTATTGACAAGCAGGGCTGGTTGAAAAGACCATTTGGTAACATTCAATCTTTGGTTGAAAGGTTTTTTTTGAAAAGTTTGATGAAATGATAATGTCTGTGGAAAATGCTCAGATGCATCTAGTATCTGGGTAAGTCAGATTCACAAAAGAAGTGTGATTTAGTATCAATCAATCTGTCACAAATTGGGACTATATAGATTTAGGACTAATTTAGTTGATTGCATATACCTCTTTGAACTTCAAACCTGCAGTCTTTTACAACAACAGGAATTATACTGCATGGAGAAGTGACAAATTGGTCTTTCCGAGGAAGATTGAATGAGATTAGTTTGATTTATCACATTTAATTAGGAACCAATTTCATCTGGACTGGGGAAGATAGACTGATTTTGGAGATTGAATTTATATTTAATCAAACAACAATTGATGAGGTTGAATTAAAAAATGAACATGGATATTTGATCCAGGACAAATTACTGATAACTTTTGGGAGGATTTGGAATGATAAGATGCCATGGAAAATCTTCTCTGAGCTGATTAACAATTTATTAACAGAGAGTTTTTAGTAATTTAAAAATCTTTGGATATGTTTCATAAAGGGTGGGATATTAATATTGGAGTAAAATATAAATATTAAACTAGGGATAATAGGTGTTAGTATTTTTCCCAATTCACTTTTTAATGTCTTGTTTGCTATGTTTTCTTTTTGTTTGCTTGTTGTTTTAAAAACTTTTGGAATTTTGTATTTTAATTTTTTTGAATAAAATAATTTGATTAAAAAAGGAAAAAAAGAGAAGTTATAAGTTAATATCCATGTATTGTGAAACTCTTAGGATGGTATGAGCGAACAACCAACATTCACTTTAGCCTAAAAGTTGCTGTGAATTGTCAATTTAAAATACATATATGTATTGAAATTTTCATTTACAGTAGTAAAAGCAAATTTAAGCTAAACTTAAATTTAAATAAACTTTATTTAAACTTAAACTTAGGGAGATAAAGAAATAATATGACTATCCTTGACTTAAAGACAACAATTGGGACTGGAGCTGTTGTCACTGAGCAATGCTGTCAATAAGTGAGTTGCATCAGATTGAATGACCATTTTTGCCATGGTCATTAGAAAAAATCTAGCTTTCCCCATTGACTTCTCAAAAAACAGACTGGGAAGGTTTCAGGTGGCAATCAAGTGACCCTGGGACGCTCCAACTCTTGTAAATACTTGCAGATTGCCAAGCTTGTGAGTTGCGATCAGGTGACCGCAGGGATGCTGTGACAGTTGTAAGAGGGAGAACTGGTTGTAAGTCACTTTTTTCAGTGTCGTCATAATTTCAAACAGTTGCTAAATAAATGGTCAGAAGTCAAGGACTACCTGTAAAAGCTGCAAAAAAAAGGGAAAGGGAAACGTAAGAGTGGCTAAAGACTTATTTAAGTCTGTAGCCACTTTTTTGTATAACCATTAGAATGCTCTTGGTACTTGGTACTACTCATTGGTACTTTCACTTTAATTGTTTTATAATCTATTCTATTTTCCAGTGGTTTTAATGTTTCTGTAATATTTCTATGGCAACTGTATCAGACAAAATTTGCTTCACCTTTTTATCCTGTAAATCTCTCAAAACATTGCTTTTACATCATCATTTCTTAACAACTTTTGGAAATAATCTATCCATAGCAGCAGACTGTATTGTGCCTGCTAATTCCATTCTTCAGCAATCTGCAATATTTTGTATGTCATAATATTTTGTGTTATTTTGTAAATTAAACCAAAACCAAAGGGCACACTTTCCTTTTCTTTTCTACCTGGAATCTTTAATCCCCTCTAATGTTCAGTTTCTGAAATCACAAAGTCTTGAATTTCTGTTAACGCTTTGGATAGACAGAAGAGGTTTTTAGGACCAGTCTACTCACTGGTTCTTCAGTTTCTGCCATGGTCGTTGTCTCATCTCATTCAGAGATGTGTTAGTTCACAATTGTTTCCCCTGAAGTCACAGAATTGTTAATTTTAATCTGACAGGTGAGAATTTGACTAATCTCAATATAGTCAGAATTATTGTAATATACTATAATTTAGTTTAAATCAATTCAGGTTTTAGTTTGGGGCTTGCCTATTTCTTTATCCTGCTCCTATATGCTTTTTGAAGTATAGATTCCGCATGCTACTAAAAGCCTTTTTTCTTTTCTTTCCTTTTTTATTTTTGACCCAAATAAAGGTTGCACCCTTCTTTTTTACTTATTAGAAGAATGCTACCCAGTTAGGGTGGTAATATGCTTTTCATGGTTGGATTGTCTGCTGGGGTTCTGTGTTTGTGTCACTTTTTATTTTAAAAAGTTTTAAAACTTTTAAAAATGTACATTTTAAATATGTACATGTGCGTAAATGATTAGTAAATAGTTGTAATGTTGTTGTGCTGTGCAGGAAAATGCTATGAAAGAAACACTGGATGAATGAATGAAAAGCCCTGCTTTTCAACCCCTCAACATGGCAGGACTACAACTCATGACCCCAGCTTCCTCTCCAATGGGTCCTTTTTTTGGACTACCATGGCAACAAGAAGCAATTCATGATAATATTTACACACCAAGAAAATATCAGGTACTAAGTGTAATGCTATTTACAATGAAAATATGTGTGTCTTATATTTCTGTTAAGTTATGTGTTTATTATAGATACTTTCGTCTCTAGTTGTTAACATTAGAAGTAGAAAAAATACAGTAATCTCTCTTACCATTTTGTGTCCAGGAATTTCAAAGTTGAAGTACTGTACTATAGTATCTAGAAAGTGATACTATATCAACTTATTTGTCTTAATTGAAAGAACAATGCAGAAAATATAATGTTTCTATTGGGTTTTCCCATTTCCCTCTTGATGCACCAGGGAATCATAGCCTGTTCATAATAGATTATTATTGTAATGAGAAAGGTGGATAGAAAGAAAGAAAATCAACAGTTTTTATTCTTAGCTAAGTATAAAAATGATTCTTTGCCTTTTGTTTGATTTGCATAATTTAGGATACATTATCTATTTTACTTTTATCATAAATGTTGCTTCATTGCAACCTTCGTCAAATCTAAGTGCTCCTTTAAGAAGAAATGATTAACCTGTCTTTCTTGTAGAAAATCCAAGGCATTTCTCAACCTTAGCAATTTGCTGGCTAGGGAATTCTGGGACCTAACATTTGTTACATCTTAAAGTTGCCAAGCCTGAGAAGAACAAAGTATGGGGAATTCCAGTTGATGCTAGAATTCTAGAGGGAAACCATAGATTGCTTGACAGGGAGACATACCTATGGAGAAATGTGTTGAGTTGCTCAGGCAAATTCTTTGAGAGACAGCAGTTCAGTCCAGCTGTAAGACATGGCACCTCAAGTACTGTTCTGATATTAGTTCATTCTCTCTTGAGTGTCCATTAGGGGGCAGATAATTTGAAGTTGGCAAGTGAATAAGAATGTCTAATAGCTGAAAGAGGACCTTCCAAAACCTGGATGTAAACTAAGAACTGAGATTACATGATTCACTAACAAAAATACACAAATACTCTGGTATCTAAAACCATGATCTAGGTCTAGAACAATGTTCCTCAAGGTATGGTCATAGGACTCCTAGAAATCCCCAAGCCCTCTCAGAGAGCTGCAAAATCAAAATATTTTCCAGCCTATGTTGAAAAACAATACAATGTTAAAATCCTATCAAACAATTATGACAAGTGGTAATGGCAGCAAACATGTCAACTGTAATTTTCAATGCAGTAAATATCGGTTAATATAAACCTTATAAGCAAAAGTTATTTGGGGTTCTCAATAATTTTTAAAACTGGGGAGAACAAAAGTTATTTGGGGTTCTCAATAATTTTTAAAACTGGGGAGAGGTCTGAGAGAAAAATGTTCTTTAAAAAGGCTTTAGAAGAGACTGGCTGGAACTGCTAAAAGTGCTGCGAGTCAAAACTCAGTTGTTATAGTGACAAGGTTAAAAGTCTTGCAGACCATGGGAAACATATTGTATCAGTTGTGTGAGTATGGAGCTCGCTCTTGAATTGTGCTCTTAAGGCTGGCTTATTCCAATTGAGATCTGCTACAAGGAGCTTGAAGTCTTCAACCTATGTTCTCATAAGAGTTGATGCTCTGGTGGAGCTAGCAGATGTGTTATTTGGCAATTTCCATCCGCATAGGGTCTCCAAAGTGGTCTCTGAATCTGGTGAGGAAGTTTAGGAAATTATACAGAATTGCAGAGCCCCATGTTAAATCAGAATCTGTACTTGCTTTAACAGTTGTTGAATATTTCTGCAAAATTCCTCATATTGTCTTCTATGCCATTTGTCATCTTGCTGATAGAGCATATGTCTGGTTGGTCCACTGTTGCGGCATCTCTGGGGTCAGAAGCTACGGCTTGGGTATTCCAGAGTCTGTGAAAATTTTGGTAAAGAGGAGTAGTTGATTAATGCACTGGGGAAGTCCAGTCTGTTCAAATGAATATTAAGGTTTATTGTAAGCTTAAGCTCTCTACAAGAATCTGAACTACAAATGGTCAAAGCAAATTGGTGGTAGATAAGAGTCAGTGAAATTCAAAGTGAATTGGACTTAGATCTCTTGTGGGTGGGAAGGGATTCAAGACTGATGATGCTTTTGTCCTCTGCCTCAGACTGAGCCCGGTCATCTCCTACACTTGTTCTGATCCTGAACCAATAATTTTTGTGAAACAAGTGTTCATCATTCATAGAGAAAGTCTTTTAGTTTCCTGGTTGCCAGATATTGAGCCCTGAAGTAGGCCTCCTGTTGTAATCTAATCGGATTGCAAAATCTGTCATTGGTAGGAGCTAACTAGCAGCCAGTGCAAATCACACAGGACTGGTGCTGTGTTAATAAACCAAAATATCCCCATACCTACTTGAGCTGGTATATGCTCAGCCAGTTTAAGTTCTCCAGCGGTTGTCAAGGGCAGCTTTATGTAGAACGAATTGCAATAGTCCCTCTGTAAGGTGACAGCCAAGAGCAAAGCTTCCTGTCTCAGAAATGGATGGAAATAGAGCACAAGGTGTAATTGTTTTAAGCCCTCCCAGCCACAGCCTGCAACTGCTTTGCAAGCAGGACTCTGAATCCAGAAAAAAATTCCCATAGTGCTGAGCCATTGTATTTCAAGTTATCTATGACTTGAAAATGATTGATTAGTATGAAATCTTACTTATTCAAGGAAAAAATAAAAATGTGTTTGTTTTAGGTGGAACTCCTGGAAGCAGCTCTGGATCACAATACTATTGTCTGTTTGAACACTGGCTCAGGGAAGACTTTTATTGCAGTGCTACTCATTAAAGAACTTTCTTATCAGATCCGTGAAGACTTCAACAAAAAAGGAAAAAGAACAGTATTTTTGGTTAATTCCGGTATGGATTTAATGTAATTTAATCAATAAGGAGATCATTTTTAATTTTAAAATAAAAGTAGACTGGAGGTTTAAAACAAGAAAATGAAATAATGACTTGTTAATAGGCAATATGAAATTGAAACTGTAGAGCTGTAGATGTTAAGAATTGAACATAATCATTCTGTAAGAAATAATCAAAGTGAAAAGAGTCTACTTTTTGTAGATCTAATATTGATGATTCTAATTGTATATGTGTAGGAGAGCCAGTTTGATGTAGTGGTTAAAGCATCAGGCTAGAAATCAGGAAACTGAATTCTAGTCCTACCTTAGGCACAAAGCCAGATGGGTGATCTTGGACCAAATCACTTTCTTTCAGCCCTAGGAATGAGGCAGTGACATACCACTTCTAAAAGTAAACCTTGGCAGGAAAACAGCAAGGACTTGTCCGGTTAGTCTGCAAGAATCAGGCCATTGAACAGAAAAGATTAAAAAGTTGCATGTGTACTTGAGAATATATGTGAATGTATTTGTTTTACTATCCCTAACATGTCTTTTTTCCCCTATAAAGCAAACCAAGTTGCTCAGCAAGTATCAACTGTTAAGACACATTCAGATCTCAAAGTGGGAGAATATTCAAGTTTGGAAATAACAGGCATATGGACAAAAGAGAGATGGAACCAGGAATTTGCAAAGTATCAGGTAAGGTATCTTCGTATTTTTATACTATAAATTTGACACCATGATTAATTTTATCTAGTAAAGAATTGTGTGTTATTTCAATCAAACATAACATAAATGTCATAAATATTCTTTGAATATGGATAGAATAGAATTAGGAAAAATATGAGAACTGGCAACATTAAATATAATCTTACCCATTTACGTGGAATATCAAAGTCTGTAGCTTAATCTATTACTTGTGTAATGTTATATGAAAAATAATATCTAAATAAAAACTATTTTGATAAATTTCCTAGTGGTTCTCTAGGTTGCTCTTTATATAAACAGAAGCAAGGGTCTGGAGTTGAAGGATGAGGAATAAGAAGTCCTAAGGTCTGTTTGAAAGTCAGCATAGTTTAGCCCTTAAGCCACCAAGCTAGAAATTAGGTTCTAGTCCCCCCCAGGCACAGTTTTTTAAGAAGAGGAAAGTTGGCTCAAATGCACAACTTTAAGGGATTTTTATCTTTAATTGGTATTTCTCTGAATCTTTGTCAATTAGGTGTTACAGCAAAAATGTCTTAAGGGTTTTTTTTAATCTAAGGTCTAGTTTTCTTCATAACAGAATTTTAAAATTGTAGAATGGCAATCTCTACTTTGTTTCCTTGGCTTTCTTTAATAGGAATGAGCATTCTAGAACAACTCTACAAATATTGTCTAATTTGAAAAAGTAGGATGTTATTCAATTTGAGCAGCCTTTGAATAGGATTACAATGCATTTCACATCATGTTGCCAGAAGTTTAAATAAAAGGCCAAATTCTATGTTACAGATACTTTTTATGTAGAAATAAACAAATGTTCAATTTTAATGTTGATTAAATTGAGTAATCTTTAGTTCTTTCCATAGCAGTAATACTATTTTTGTCTTACGTTTTTTCAGGTTCTGGTTATGACCTGTCAAATCGCTTTGAATGTTTTAAAAAATGAACATTTAGCCCTCTCAAACATTAATCTCCTTATTTTTGATGAGTGCCATCTTGCAATCCAGGATCATCCTTATAGAGAAATTATGAAGGTATATTACTCAGCTAGGTATTGAACACTTACTCTTCAATTTTCAGTGTACATCAGTTAGGAAAAGTATAAGATGTACAGCATTACAAATAAGCTGAAAAGGTCTTTTGAAGCAGGCAGCGAATACAGGTAGTCCTTGACTCACAGTCGCCATTAGGACCAGATTTCTAGTCAGTCAAAGCACCCACATGAGCAAACCAGATTTTCTTACTTTTTTGCAGGGGTTATTAAGTAAATTACTGTGGTTGTGAATACACAGTTGTTAAGTGAACATAAGAGCAAGCTTATTCTTCTAAAGGGTGTTTTGTTTTGTTTTGTTTTTGCCAGAAACCGTACCAAGTACCTACCTAAAATGCAGTCTGGGACTGCAAGAGGGGACATTTTACAATAGCCTGAAGTATTTTATGGACCCATCTTAACTTTAAATGATTGTTAGGTGACTTGTTCTAAGTCAAGAATTACTACCATACTATTGGTGCTTCCTTACCTCAAATACGTTATTTCCTGGAATCTTGCAGCTATTATGTAGGCTTTGAGAAAGTTTCTAGTGAAGTGTGTTGCAAAAGCATATTTGTCTATACCTTTTTGTCTTCAGATATGAAGGGCTGTACATTCCTAACTTAGATAGTTCATAGCCTTCCCATCTAGTGTTTATGTACCACTCATAGTGGGATATATATTTTCGAAGAAGTCTTTCCAATGCAAAAATTGCAGTGGCTAGCAAATATGGTTTACTATCAGGTAGTCCTTGACTTACAACTTTATGGAGACTGCCTATTACAATTATTGTGAGAATTGTAAAGTAGGTCTTCACATGACCAGCCTGATTTTATGATTGTTTTTACAGCAATCATTAAGCAAAACATTGACGTTAGGTGAATCTGGTAATTGAATGCTGTGGTCATTAAGGAAACTATTGTTCACTAAGGGGCGCTTTTACAGAACACTAGAAGTAAACACCAATTTTAGTCAAAAAGTATAATTTGCAGTCACATGACCATAGGATGCTACAAATGACCATAAATGTAGGACAGTTGTCAAGAGCCCAAAATGCAGTCACATGACCATGGGGGGACCCAGGCCTTCAGAACTGGGTCGTAAGTACCTTTGGTGAGGGCAATCTTTACTGAATGGTTGCTGACAACCGGTTGTTAAGTCATTCTCAACTTACTTTTTATAACTAGGTACTGACATAGTAAAAATATATTATTCATTCTGATAGCAGCTTTTTCATTGAAGAAATTAACAGAGTCTGTCTCCTGCTAAGATTCACAGGTGAATAGAGCATATGCTTTTACTCAGCAAATTTTACTAAAGTGAATGAAAGAAGAATTGGGTCTATCGGAGCCAAATGGCCAGTGGCAAGCTATTTTTTTACAAGTGTGCAAAGTTATTTTATATTAAACATATTTCTTTGTTGAGATTTATTTTGTTAATTATACTTAGTAACTGATGTTTGCAAGTGTTACTAAAATTATCTATTTGGAGAATATTATCTCTCACTGCCAAATATGAAATAAAAAGATGTAGGGAATTTACTTAAGTAACCAAGATACTGCAGAATCTATAAAGTTAATCTGTGGAACTTTAAAATTCTGGCACAATAAGAATTGGACTTCCTCCTTTGGGACTACACAGTGGAATAAAACAGCTATATTATTTTAATGCAGTCTCATAAGGAAGGTTGGGGGGTGGTTTGTAAGTTCACCTGTGGAATGGCTACCAAGCCTTGTATTTGAATGTACCCTTGGATTTCCTTCTGATTTATTTTCAGCTTTGTGAGAGTTGTCCATCCTGTCCTCGAATCTTGGGATTAACCGCTTCCATTTTAAATGGAAAATGTGATCCAGCAGAGTTAGAGGAGAAGATTCAGAAACTGGAGAAAATTTTAAAGAGCAGTGCTGAAACGGCAACTGATTTAGTAGTTTTGGACAGGTATCTTACCACATATTTGACTGAACATTGAATATTCATGAACGTTTATATGGAAAGGATGAAATGATTGTGTATATCTAGAATGTCAGCATTTTGTTTATTTAATCGAATTTTAAATCTGCTTTGATAATATCAGCTTGCGTATTGTATCTTCATGGTCTTCTATAATTTTTAAATACTATGCAACCTCTTAATTATTAATGTCTTGCATTTATCAATTGTCAACAGTTATAAACATTTTTTTTGTTTTTTCATGGAAAAGATATACTTCTCAGCCATGTGAGATTGTGGTGGATTGCGGGCCATACTCTGACAAAAGTGGACTTTATGGAAGACTGTTAACAGAGCTGGATGATGCGCTTAGCTTTCTGAATGATTGCAACATATCTGTACATTGTAGAGAAAGAGATTCTATCTTAATTTCTAAGCAGGTATAGACAACAATTTATGTATCATTATATTATTAAAATTGCTTTACTATATTTTAAGTCATATAATTTCACATAAAATTTTTACCTTCATAAACATTCTGCTTCATTCTTTATGATTTTTGTATTAATAGCTAATTAGTTTAGAAAGTTAAAATAGACTTTGTAAACTCTAAAGATCAAAGCTGAGAATTTTAAAAATACATGTATTGTACTTAAGATTAAGTTAGAGACAAGTTGCAGAATTCTCTCATAATTTACTAGGAATGGGCAAGAAACAATAATATGAAATGTATAAATGTATATAAATTAAAAATACTTTGGATTATCTTGTTTGTTTTTAAATAGATGTTGTAAAACCTGATCCTTGTTGAGTTAGCTTATTTTTTAAATATTAATTTTAGGATATGCATCTATTATGTAGTTATTTATATAATTAGTCTGGTGGTTAAGGTACCAGGTTAGAAATTAGAAGACTTGAGTTCTAGTCCTCCCTTAGGCATAAAAGCCAGCTGGTGAATCTAGCTCAAAACATCAGGCTCAGGTGAAAAGCCAATCAGTCAATTTCTGTCAGAACCAACACAAAGTTTATTACAAAAAAAAGAAAGAAAGCAGACCCTGCACTTTAGGAAAACACTAGGAAGGAAAAATATCTGTATAAGTGAACTATGGCAACTGAGTTCCCTTAAACCTGCAGGAATCCCAACTAGGAAGACCAAAGAAATCACCTGGTTTTCTGTGAATCAGATTTGTATTCATACATTACAAATCCAATCATTACCCCAATATTATGATTTATTTCCCCTCATTTTAATCTTGCATATTCATTGCTTATTCTGGTATGTATTTTAGTTTGAAAAATAATAATGTAACTGATATGAATTTGATTTGTATTAATAATTTACTCAATTCCAACCTCATGAGAAATGAAAATGCAGATATATTCTTTACTGGTATCCTTTTGAATTCTTATGAAATTGATTACTGATTAAACTAATAATAGAATATACATGTGCATGTGTATGCTATATTGAATTGATAAATTTTTCTTTGATTGCAGATACTGTCAGACTGCCGGGCAGTGTTGCTTGTTCTGGGACCGTGGTGTGCAGATAAAGTAGCTGGGATGATGGTGAGAGAGCTACAGAAGTACATTAAGCATGAGCAAGAGGAGCTGCACAGGAAATTTTTATTGTTTACAGATACTTTCCTAAGAAAAATTCATGCACTCTGTGAAGAGCACTTCTCACCTGCCTCACTTGACCTGAAATTTGTAACCCCAAAAGTAATAAAACTGCTTGAAATCTTGCGCAAATATAAACCCTATGAACGGCAACAATTTGAAAGTGTTGAATGGTATAATAATAGGAATCAAGATAATTATGTATCTTGGAGTGATTCTGAGGATGATGATGAGGATGAAGAAATAGAAGAGAAGGAGAAGACAGAGACAAACTTTCCTTCTCCATTTACCAATATTTTATGTGGAATTATTTTTGTGGAACGAAGATACACTGCAGTTGTGTTAAACAGGTATATATCTATCTATCTTAATAAAACAAAAAGTGTTGTATGTAACAAAAGGGCATAGCATTAATTTGGAATAACTGTTCAGCCATTCAATAATACACATACTAACCACTTAGCAAAGGACACATAGACTCACAAAAATGTTCTTCATTGTTTTAAAATCAAATTTAGCGATGTGTATTCCTATTTTTCCTCCTACAGTAAAGAAACAAAAAAAATTAAATATAAACGTTACATTTTCTTTTTTAAAAAAAAAATATATCTCCCTGGGGTAGGGAGATTTTTCTTCCATTCTTCCTTGCTAATTTCTCTTCAGCATAATTCTAGTTTCCAGCTTTCTATGGCTCATTTTGTCCATTACTAACTAAAAACACTATGGGCTTGTATTTGAAATGGCCAATATCTTCAACTGGTTAAGATACCTAGCTATAAACTAAGAGACTAAGTTCTAATCCCAGTTTATAATGTACAGAAAAGCTCTCTGGGTACTTAGGATCAGTTAATCAACCCAATTCATCTCAAAAGTGGTGGTGGTGTAGGGAAAATAGGAGAAAAGAATATTAGATATGTTTGCTGCCTTGAATTATTTAATCATGTTATTTAATATAATCACAATCATAATAAAATATAATTAAAGTAAAATTTGTATAATTTAATAATATTTATTAATAAAGGCAAGATAAAAAAATAAAAATGGCTGTGATGATCTCTGCTATGTACTACAGTCCTACAAAGGATTGTTCTGTTTCATATTTTTTCATTATGTTATTTCTTTAGCTGAGACCACAAGTAAAGTACTATAATGAATATTTCTCCTTTCTCTTCTGGTTGCTACAAATTCCCCTTATATATAGTCAGCCATATGGCTCAGCCAATATGTATTTTCTCAAAAGCCAGAGAATTAATCAGATAGCTATATGTATTATTCTATTTATTTCATGTAAGAAAAACAATCAGAAGGCTTGGAAAAACCTGAGAGCCTATAAGAGTACAAGCCTGTTTCATGATTTAAAAAAAAAATCCTAAAGGAAACTCCAAAGAGAACCAATTAAGACTTATGTTCAATCGCAAAAGAATGCTAAATGGTAGACCAGGAAGAAAGCAAATAAACTGAATATCTGTAGTAGGGTTGCATAGTTCATGCAGAATCCTCATCATCTTGAGAATTTTACAACAACAAAGTTTTTATTATCAAATGCCTAATTTAGATTTTGTTTTAATTTTTCACTTCATTTTATATTTATTTTTCTGAAGTTATTCTGGCAAAAATAGTTTTATGGTTTTCCTGATTAAACCCGATTATTGTGAATTACATGAAACTTAATATCTGTATTTTAGGCAAACAGTATGAAAATATATACTTTAAAGATTCATTTTAAGTAAAAATGACCTAGTTTGGGGGAAGTCCTTTAATTTCTGTGCATATGCCTATGAACATCTGTAGGAATGTATATGTGTATTTTTATTGTTCACTGTTTGCCACAAATAAGAAAAAATAAATTTTTGAAAGATGTCAGATAGGTTCATATTTCTATTAGTTTCCCATAATTTTTTTAATCTAAAAAATTAAAACTTTACTAGATTTTAGGAAGATTTAAACATACATGAACCATACTTCTTTTATATTAACTTTCTGTTTCACATGTAAGATATATTAAAAACATGTTCCACGTATAAGATATGAAAGACATGTAAAACATTCTTTGTCAGTGGATTTGAGTTTAAATAATTTAAAAGAATGAATAAAACCTGTGTATATATCCTGGTAAGAAAATCAATTACCATACCTCTACTTTCAGTATTGTATATCCCAAAAATTCTTACACTTTTTTTAAATTTATGCATCTTCCAAAATATGTGTAATATATTTAGGTTGATAAAAGAAGCTGGCAAACAAGACCCAGAGCTGGCTTACATCAGCAGCAATTTTATAACTGGACATGGCATTGGAAAGAATCAGCCCCGTAGCAAACAGATGGAAATAGAATTCCGAAAGCAGGAAGAGGTAACTTTAATGAAATAATTGTATATAAATGTGGTGTATTTTCTTGCATTAGAACCCTTCATTAAAGTTTCCCCATCTTGAATGTTGTGAATATCCGTATATAAAAGGAATGTATGTAAAGCTGCTGAAATAAAGTGTATATATGTATTTTAAAAAATAGAAAAGTAAGACCAAATATTCATCCCTTCTTTAATGATAGCGTTTGACTTAACATTAAGAATTAAGCTTGTTGTTGGAAATACTGTAGTGTTAAATGAATCTTTCGGCAGCAATAGATGCTGTTTCTTCTCCTCTGTTCTGTAATCTAATTTGCTGTTTCTGTAAAATCAATGTAAATATCTTCCCATAATTTGTGGATTGTGCACCAACCATACAATCCATATTTAGCCTCAGGACTATACAATCTATATTTAGCTTCAGGACAGTTTGGAACTATCTTCCCTTTCTGATTTCATCCTGAAAGCCCACTGACTAAGGTTAGGAGGGAGGGAGGGAGAGAGAGAGTGCACACAGATCTGTGCTTGTAGTACATGTGGCTCTTTTATCTCAAATTTCTATTCTTGACAGAACCAGATGAAATTTGCAGACAAAACTTTCCCTTGCTGAGATCAAGCCTGACAATTTCACTTATTGAGATGAGGTTTTATACTCTTACGTTTTTAATGGTCAAGATGAGATACAAAATAGAAAGCTGTAAAATAATACAGGAAACTTTTGACATGTGCAATTGATTTTTTCCTTTACATCGTAGTCTCTTTTGAGAGGGTATAATATACATTTAAAATATTGTATCTTCACTTGTCCCGAAGCAAATAATCTATAAAATCTTATTTTTTCCAATTTGCATGAAATTTGAATGGATTATGGCTGTGCAGCTCTTACAGAGGGACTTGACAATCAAACATTTTTCTAACAAACATCCAGTTCAAGATCTGATAAAAGCACCCCACCCCAACCTTTTCTCATTATTCTGCTGCTGGGAAGGAGAAGAACCAGAATGAATACCAGTGTGTCGTGGTACCGGAGTTGAACTGAGTAGGACTAGGTGCTGAAATGGTCTGGTGATAGAACACAGTATCAATAAAACCGTGATTAACAATAGGATCTACACCTGTAATTATTCTCCTCTCCTCCAGTGTTTTCATTATTCAGAGAGGTTAGGCACAAATCTATCCCAGTTTGAAAAATTATCCTAGGTCTCTAGTCTTGCAGTGCTAAACGAAGTACCAGAAATGTTCAGATTCAATTCATTTTAGAGGAGTTCTGTTTTGGTTCATATATTTTCTATTTATCCAAATAATTAACTCATTTAACTCCATTTTGTTTGTGTCACATATAATAAAATATAGCTACCAGATTGGCATTTTTAGTCCAGAAAATGTAGGTAGCTTTAAATGTACAAGCTAGGCAAATGCATCAATCTTCTTTTGTACCTGGATCGTGCTTTAAAAAGGACTGTAATAGCGAAACTTGGTTTTTGTGTTTTATTATGTAACTATAGCTGTTCTATGATTTTTTTTACTTTTAAGCATCAGCATTAAGAATTTTTAAACCATTAAACTTGAGTGTTAAGTGTCCATTTGAATGAGACTTACATGCTATGTTATAAATATGAGTAGATGTTTAGAAAACTAAGCTTGTTTTCTTTTTATTATTTTAATATACTCTTAGTTGCTAGTTCATTAAACTAAAATTTAAGGATCTTAGAACTATGTTGGCTATAGGATTTTTAAATTATTATTTTACTTCTGGGAAAACGATTTTTGCTCATTTTGCTCCATTTTGTTGAAAATTGCAAGTAATTAATATTTTAGTATTAACTAATATGAATCAGTGGAAATAATCATATTTTGTAACCAAACTTTGTTCATATATAGTTAAATACAGTTCAGAATTGCCATTATTAACAATGTTATTATTAATGGCAGAAACTTTAAATGTTCTTTAAATGAGCTTGTTTCAATAAACTAGAAATATATTTTAGTGTTTGGTGTATTTTATTTTTCAAATGAATCAAATGACAGTAAATAAAAGAACCAATGGATTATTCCTAGCTCATACATGAGAATGTAGCACCAGTCTGCTATTCATTAAAGCTGCCTGGAAATCTCAGGAAAAGAAATGGCTTGTGCTTGAAACACCTTTTTAGAATTAAAACTGCACTTTGATCAAATTGTAGGAATGCTTTCTCTGTCTTCAGTGACAAGAAAATCTGGAGAGTCCTGGGCTTACATTTTAGAATATATTGAATTTTAGACAAGTGGCAAATAAGTTTTAAAGATAATGCATTTTAAAGATAATGCAGCATAAATTGGGGGACAAAAACAAAAACTGATATTAAGATGTGAACTAAAGAATGTATAAATTATTTTCCTAAAATTAACTATTTTATAAAATTATAACCTGTTATCTTTGTACTTTTATTGTGTTCTTTTTAAAATAATTTTGTTGGAATTTTTAATTTTATTGAAGAAAATTAAAATCAGTTTTAAAAACTATAACTTTTATATTCCAAACCATTGGACTATAAGTAGAGTTCTGCAAGTATTAGAATATTAAACTTTTGTGAAGATAATGGCTTTACAACAAATAATCTTAGAAATATGTCTTCTTGGTTACTTTGTAGGTTCTTAGAAAATTTCGAGCACATGAAACCAACTTGCTAATTGCAACTAGTATTGTAGAAGAGGGTGTTGACATACCAAAATGCAATTTGGTGGTTCGTTTTGATTTGCCCACAGAATATCGTTCCTATGTGCAATCCAAAGGAAGAGCCAGAGCACCTATCTCAAACTACATTATGTTAGCTGATTCAGACAAAATTAAATGTTTTGAAGAAGATCTTAAAACCTACAAAGCAATTGAGAAGGTATGTGGCAAAGAAGTCCATGTATGTCACTGAATCATAAAGGAATTGACAGGTGTGGGTGGGCGGGTTATTTATTTATTTGTATAAGCTTTATCCTTTTCCACTTCTAAATACCAGAGCGGCTTACAGTGTTAAATACTGGAAAATTAGAAACAAAAATCAGTTGATACAATTATAACAATTGGCTGGATGCAAGGTAATGTTATCTTACTCATCCTCAAATGCTTTTTAAACTGCTTTTGTGATTCTAAAAATGTAAAATAGTGATTCAGTATTTAGTTGTCAATCAGTTTTTCTTAAACGAGGAAGAAATGCAAAGAAACAATAGGAATCCAGGTTTAATTGAGAAAGATGTCTTGATAACTAAAGGAGCAAAAGGAATACACTAAGAAGATTATATTGCCCAAAGATAGGTGGACAAATAAGAGATCCATACTGGAAGATCTACAGAAAGACGATTAAATACAGTAAGAAACATAGGATTTTCAGATGAATTAATAACTAATAGACATCTCTCAGTAAACTGGTCCCCTCTTTTATTTATATTTTTATAAAGTTAAAAACATTTTATATTTTATTCACATGCACACTTTGTGTAAATGCTTTAAAAGACGTGTTTTGAAATCAGCAATTCTTGCATGCACCTAATTGCAAAAATAGCTGGGAGTCATTTTTGAAGCAGTTTTACCAGCTTTTTTAAAGACACAAATGGTTTGACTATTGTAAAATAGCATTTCGTATTTTTCCTGCATGTTCCAAAGCAGTTCTTTTGAATCATTTGGAGAACTGAGATATTTATAAAAATACAGAAATTAATTTTTATGCTAATACTCATAAAATATTACACAAAAAGGCACTGATATATCAATTATCCTTTTTCCAACAGAAACCAAGGAATTTGAACATTAATTGTCTCTGAGTCAGTGTTGTTAGTTTCTTTTTCTTAGCTGGAATGTACTGTTAATTTTGGTGTGACCTCTTCCATATTAGTGTTTATGATAATTCTTCCCTTTCAAAGGGCTGGGAACTAATATGAAGTTAGTAAAGATATAAACCATAGATAATCTCATTCTATGTTAATTATTCTTAAATATTCTGTATCTTTCACTTTTGCTAATAATGTTTATCTCAATGCTGAATTTATATAATGTTCTTATCATTCTCTATTAATTGATTTTTTAAAAGATTCTGAGGAACAAATGCTCGAAGTCTGTTGATATTAGTGAAACAGAAAATGAGCCTATTATAGATGATGATGACATCTTCCCACCATATGTGTTGAGGCCAGAAGATGGTGGCCCAAGAGTCACAATAAACACTGCTATTGGGCACATTAATCGGTATGATGACCATTATTGTTTCCCTATTTAGCTCTATATTTCATATGATATAAAGTGGTCTTTTAATTGAATGCTGGTAACTGTTTTAAGCATTTGTCTATTGTGGTTAAACTAAAGATTTTTGTGTCTTACAAGAAATAAGACAACCAAATCCATTTATTGTTTCATTATTATACTTTTTCTGAAATATATTTAATATTGGAGGATAGAAAGGGAATGAAATGGAAGAGAGGTATCAATGTAATTTTAAAGCAAATAATTCTGTAATATGGGGTTCTTATTCTTAGCTTGATCGTTTGCTTGTAGACATTTGATTACATGATTAGATAACATTATATGTGCTGTACTAATGATATTACCTAGTTGGGTAATGAAACATCTGCAAGCAAACAACCAAGCTCAGGGAGCATAAAGGACTCCCCACCATTATCCTTAGCTAAATCTTGAAATAATAGTGGATAGTATATGCCAGCTCTGCATATGATACCTATGAAAAAGGAGTGGTTCATGTTATTTTTGAGATATTCCCCGTTAGGAGAATGAGTGCACTCAGGGAAAACGTAGTGAGAGTGATGTTGAATAACACACAACCAGCATACAGATACACTGAATAGTAAAATGTAGGTTTTACTTCCAGTAAACAGGTAAACAAAGTCCAATAAACAGTCCAAATCATACACGGTTAAAGCAGTTAGTATCAGTCCAGGGATAATCCAAAAACGAAGTCAAGTATCATAAGTAAAGTTCAGTAAATGGAGTTTGCTAACAGTTGCAAAAACTCACAGCAATCCAAGTAGAACGATGATCAGACAAATACGGCAAAACAGGAAATGCAAGGAGAAAGAAACCAGGTTTCTGGCTCCATCTTATGGCCGTTGGAGGAACCTCAGCCAATCACAGTTACAGCATTCTCTTAAAGATACAATATTAAATTACTATCCTGGTTTATATATTTCCAACCCAACTGTTAGGTGACTATCATTCCTAACAGTTATAATAGATAACAGATAATCAGAGTTGGAAGGGACCTTGTAGGTCATCTAGTCCAACCCCCCTACACCATTTCTGACAAATGGCAGTCCAATCTCTTCTTGAAAGTCTCAAGTGATGATGAAAGTCTCAAATTATGACTAACTGAAAAAAAAATAAAAAACATAATGTTATATAAATTACGTTCATAAATTAAAAACTTTCTATGAGAAACATTTTTACTAGAAAAGGTAGATTAATGGATTATTTAGCTGGGAACAATATTGGGTACACATTGGGCATTTCATAAAACAATTCGTGGCACTGGAAAAAGTAGACAGAACTTTTTCCTTTCTCAAAAAACATTTACTGTGGGCTGATTGAAAATAGTTTTAAGATAATCATTCGGGACAAAATACATAATTATATCATACAGGATATAATTAATTCCTAATTATATAGTGTATGAAGTATGTAATTCATACTTGATGTGTTGCCCTCCAAACTGGATGGTTTTAAAAAGGAATTAAGTTCATTGAGATGCGAAGGACTATTGATCTTGAATTTGTTGCATCCAGGTTGTGAGGAATATACTACCAAGTAGTATTTCAAAGAGAACAATGTTGGAAAATGGGTATGCCTCTCTCCTACTTCCAAGCAACTTAGAGCAGTGGTCGCCAACCGGTGGGCCGCGGCCCACTGGTGAGTCATGAGAAAATTTTGGTGGGCCGCAGAGAAATCTCACCCCCAGAGCACACCCACAAAGCAATTAATCCAGGCTGCACAGAAACACAAGGCTGTGCTGCCCACATGGCCCGTGGGAACCCTCCCTGCCCACTCACTCCTTACCCAGAAAACTTGCCTGCTAAATTGCTATTTTTCTTTTTTCCGACCATCAGGTGTTCTGCTGTGCCGGGAGATTTAGATTAGCTAGGAAGCATGAAATGGTTGGATTTCTTGCTTTCTAGCTAGTCTTTAGATCTTCGGCTCAGCACAGCCGAACCTCCCTTAGGACTGAAGGTTTGCTTGCAAGCAAATTTAGTGCAGACTCACAGCAAGCAAATTTGAGAGACTGAGCTAGCCGATGGGAGATAGATAGATCACTGAATGATTCTGTGAGCAACTCAATCTGCCTGCTTTGCCTGATTTTGGGTAAAAATTGCTCTTTTTTATAAAAAATTCAATATTTGCATGCATGGTGTGATGTGAGTTAATTTTATGAGTTTGCTTGCAAGCAAATTTTATGTGACAGACTGATCTAGCCAATGGCAGATAGATAGCTCTCTGAATGAATCTGTGATTCTGTGAGCAACTCAATCTGCCTGCTTGCTTTGTCTGATTTTTGGTAAAAGTTGCTCCTTTTTATAAAAAAAAAATCAATATTTATATAAATATTTATAATATTTACATACAAGCCATGCCCAGCCAGTCACATGACCACCAAGCCACACCCACAAATTAGGCCACACCCACAGAACCGGTTAATGGCCCCTGGGATCTAAAATTATGAGTTTGGTGGTCCCTGAGTTCCAAAAGGTTGGCGACCCCTGACTTAGAGGCAGCTGCTTGACCACTATGAGAAACAGAATACTAGGCTGAGGTTTCTGGGCATATTCAGTAAAACTGATCTTATTAGACCTTTTTTTTCCTGGTTTAATGTGATATTACTCAATTAACAAATAAAATTTTCCAGTAGGTATCCATTTCAATCTTAGAAACACCCGAGATTCTTCTGTTTATTGTCTTTATTGTCAGTCTGCTTGGGAGAATTGTACAGTATTATATTTAAATCAAACCATTTAACTGTGAGTGGAAATCTTAGAAATAAGTGCAAAACTATTGACTTATCCATTTGCCTGTTGATTTCTATTAACTTGTGAATATATTAGCATAAAATATCTTTTGCTTTTTAAAAATATTTTATGTTTATTTTTTTTAAATGTGTCAAATAGGTATTGTGCTAGATTACCAAGTGATCCATTTACTCATCTGGCTCCAAAGTGTAAAACTAGAGAGCTTCTTGATAACACATTTTATGCAACACTTTATCTACCTATCAATTCTCCTCTTCGAGCATCAATAGTTGTAAGTATTTTGTTTTGACTAAATAAATTTTGAGTGTGAACAGTGTTTTCTCCCTCTTACATGGCTTGAACTTGTTTTTCCTGCAATGCATAACTTGCTGTTATATAAAAGGTTTACTCTGTGCTAAGTACCTTGTCCATGGATTTTATATGGTTACAAGATTCCCAGGTGTCTCAACTGGAAATTGATCAATCAGTGGGTTATAATTGAGGTCATTTGAGGCATTGAAATATATACTGTTGCAAAGAAAGAGGTTTACTTTCTTCTCTCTATTTGAATTAAACTAATTGTTAAAGCTTGAATGACAAAGCATTATGTACAAAAGACATAAGAAACTCTAGGGCTAAGTTAATGATTTTTTATTAGCAACATGGAAGCATCTTAGTATAGAAAAAATAATATATTTTCCTTTTATATGAAATATTCAGTCTAAATAGTGATGTGCTTTGAGTTTTATAATAACCTGAAATATATTTTTTACAAAAATATTGGCTAGATTTGAAATATATAACTAACATCTGTTCTACTTAGAGCTGTTACTTTATGTTCTTAAACCTATCCCTTTTACAACACTTAACATATTTTTTATGCATGACAGTTCTTAGTTATTAGAGAGTCAGTATAGCATATTAGTTGAGGTGAACGTTCAGGTATAAGTCTACCCCAGCCATGCATGCTTATTTGGTGACTTTGAGCCTGTTAGACTAACCTGCTGTACAGGGTTGTTATGGGGGTGGGGGGAAGGAACTTGAAGAAAAAAATGCTGTGTATTTCATAATGAACTCCAGAGGGAAAGATAGGATATTAATCTAATGAATTGTAACTAAAATATGAAATGAAAAAAGCAATAAATTTAATTATTATTTATTGAAATAAAAATTTTTAAAGACCTGCTTCAAATTTTATTTCCAGGGTCCTCCAATGAGTTGTGCAAGATTAGCAGAAAGAGTTGTCGCTCTTATTTGTTGTGAAAAATTGCATAAAATTGGTAAGTTTAACTTTTGGAAGCAATATCATTTACTTAAAGAACATTTGATACTATCTTGACGCTTATTGTGATTTTTTTTAAATGTAGAGGGAAAGAAATACCTGAAAATGCCATTTTAGGTTTTTTGGAACTGGCAGTGTTAGTTTTTACTTCTGGTCCTCTTTAAAGTCATTTTTATAGTTTTCTGCTAACCATAATTTTCATATCTAACCTTTGTACTTAGTATTTTTCTCTGGTGGAAATTCACGTATGTAATTATAACAATATCTAGTACCATGTTACTTGAATTATTACAACAATTTGGTTTTCCCACTCTTGGTCCTGGCAGATGATTGTAACCAGTATCAAGAAGGTCAAGTATTTACTGCACTGACAATATTGGCAATATGCTTAATTCTCTGTATTTTCCATATAGATTCACCTTTGACCTCCACCAGTTGTTTAACTGGTTAATATGGCTATGTAGACCCACATTTATTTATTTATTAATTTTCCCATTACTTGCTACTTTCTTTTCATTGTACACAATGCAAAAATTGTATTAATATGAGGCTGATTGATTTGTCTCCCAAGCCTGACAACAGGAGTAGAACTTAGAGTCTCCTGGTTTCTAGCCTGATGCCTTAACTGCTAGACCAAACTGGCTCTCACAAAGACAAAAGAAAAAAAAATCACTTCCATCTTTTCACCTCATACAATATAGAAATTATATTAAGTAAGTTAAATACTTGAAATAAAACCTGAAGGTAAAACTTCCACCTACAATTCTTTTAAAAGGGTACTCTTTAAATGACTTCTGTTTCTTCCATTGAAATCACTTTGAAAAATTTCAATCCATTCTCAAATAATTCTCTGAGAGAACAATAGACTGCTCTACTTCCAGATTTTTTTTAACTTTCTCAACCCTCTGGGAAACAAAATTTCAAAAATAAACTTTCTCCTTTAAATGGAATTTAGATGGTCTTTTTTTAAATTGTCCCTGAAATACTCGGTTAATATTCTGATCCAAACCCTTTTCCAATAAAACAAACACGAACCAAAGGAAACAGAAACCTTTTAATGATTCTTACGAATCCCGGTTAAAAGGCTGCTGCAAAACTAATTAACTTTAATAAACACAAGCCTTGCCAAAACTGCGAGGCTGCCAAGAATCACAGATAAGAAATATTTCACAACACAAGAGTCTTCAAATACCAGCTAAGATACTGCAATGTCCGTGAGGCTGGAGTTTCAAAACGTTTTTGCTTCCTACAAAGAATGTCTGATTCACAGCTGGCTTTTGTCTTCTTGAAGGAGGGGCCATTATCTTGCAGCCTTATTCCCGAGTTGCCTGTGCTGCTGCAGCTGCTCTTTTCTACGAGCAACCCTGCACGCACGCGCACTTGGCACAGGCTCCTCGGCAACCTCATCACTGCTACCAGCCCCCACAATCTCTGAAGGCAGCAATGGTTCTGGCCCCTCATCTGAGTCCTCGCTCTCCTCAGCCGTCCGCACCTGCTGCCGGCTAACCACAACAGTTAAAATATAATGCTGTGATGTCAAGCACTCCTGCCCATTTCCCAATTGCCTTCTCCGCCTGCAACTTCTGTTTATGATACTTAATGTTATTAAGATCCCACTGTGGAACTTAGTAATATCTAATTATTTGAGGGGCTCAGGTTTCTTATTAGAAGAAGGGGCAAAGAATGCTCAGTTTTGCACACTGATCTGCAGCATTCTCAAGTCTTAAAAAGGACACAATCCTATATATGTTTATAGTTGGTAAGTTGGTATTTGAGTATTTTAATGAATTGTTTCAGAGTAAATATGAATAAAATCAATCTGAATTGACTGCTCTCAGACTTCTAATACTATATACTGATTTGTAAAGAATAATATTGCATTTAATGTTCTAAGAATCTTGAAAAAGATCCTCATTAATTTAAACTCAGGCAGTTTCCTTTAATTACTGCTGCAGTAACTTTCCATTTTAAGAAGAGATGGTTATTTTTTTATTTTTTTATGTATACTTTGAAATTGTACCATGTTTGTGTAAAACAGGTGAGGAAGTTTAGACCAGTCCCTCATGATTTTATACATGCATTTTATAAAAGACTGGACAAAGGTTAGTTTATGGATGAGAAAATTATTTCTATATTATGGAATTACTTTATTTATAATTTGTTCTTAATTTATATTTTAGGTGAACTAGATGATCACTTGATGCCAGTTGGAAAAGAAACAGTAAAATATGAGGAGGAACTTGATTTGCATGATGAAGAAGAAACCAGCGTTCCAGGAAGGCCAGGTTCTACAAAACGAAGGCAATGCTACCCTAAAGCTGTTAGTATAGTTCTATGGATTTGCTATATGTGACTGTATAAAACAAACAGTTATAAGTGATGATATTTGTGTAGTTACTTACCAAACACACATAAATTATATTAAAGTAACCAAAATACCTTTATGTCACAACTTTTGAGCACCCCTAATGTTTCAAAATTGACAGTTGAAAAATTTGATACGGCATATATAAGTTTAAGATTTTTCTGACTTGAATAGAAGGAGTATAGTGATTCTTTAGTATCTGTGCTAATTAGAGGATCTTGTAATAATGAAAAAATAGTTTCTGTTGAGGACCTGGGAAATCATGTACACTTCTGCATCAGAATAATAAGAGTAGGATAAGATTTCTTATATGTGATAAGACAAGTTTTTTCTAGTGAGGCCAAAAGGAAATGTGTGACAAGAAATTTGGATGCACAAAAAAGAGATGTTTTCCCATTTTACACCCACATGACTTTCATTATTTAATTTCTCATTTATATGTAAATTACAGTGGAGACATAATAAAGTGGTGTTTAATTTTTTTTCTAGTATGAGATGAAGCATTATCTTTGGTGTCATATGACTACTGATGAATATGAATGCTGTGTGCTATTTTTTGTGTCTTTGGATGAAAAATAGAATACAGAATCAGTATTTAATCACTCATTATTATACTAAAGTCCAGTATTGCAACCTTATGATAGCTGCAGCTTTTGGGTATAATGTGGTTAAGGAGAAATTGTAGAATAGAGGACTGTAGCAATTTGTATTTGAACATATAGCACTTGTTAATAGCAATTTAAATCAAATGCATTTGTTTTAGAATTAGGAAAAAGCTTGGGAGGTCAGCTTCACAAGCCAAGAAAAAAAAATCACATTTAAAGAGTTGCCAACTAGTGCTATCTGAGCATCTGCCTTGAGCCTGAGCTTTTGTTCCTTTGAATTGGTTTGCTACCCAGTCCGTATTAAGGTATACTATTCAGGGGTAACATTCAAATGTTATTTTAGGGGAATGAAAAGAACAGGGTATAATCCAAGAGGCACAAATTAAAGTAAATATGTTTTTTTTGGATTTTGAAGTGTTGCAAACAAATGGGAAACATCAGGTAATAACACTTTTTATTTGCAAAATCTCATTGTCAAATTTGAAGCAAGTTTTAGTTAGGAGGAAGTTATATCTGTAACATATTAGATCCTTGGTCTATCCAGCATTGTGATAGCAACAATACAGATTTCAAGCAAGAAGCCTTTCCTAGCCTTACCTGAGGAAACCAGGGCTGAATTTGTAAATTCCAAAATAGCTTAAATAGAAACTTTGCCAAAGACTCACTAACTTACTGAGTGTTATTATTTTTTAAACTGGAGCCTCTTTTACTTCATTCCATTTTGGTTCTTTAGTTTTATTTATTGTCTTTGTGGTAGAAACTGGTTCCAAATGGTTTCAGGATGCAATAACTATGCATCAACTTTTTATCTGTTAGTTATATAAATCAATAAATCACTGACAACTTACAATTCAATCCTGCATTCTATTTGTTTTAATAATGTGTATATGCAAAGATAATTTATTTACAAACTCTATTTCTAAGGACAATTTTTATTTAAAAAGCATGTTTATTATATTATGTCTATAGATTCCAGAATGTTTGAGGGACAGTTATCCCAAACCTGATCAACCCTGTTACCTTTATGTAATTGGTATGGTCTTAACTACTCCTCTGCCTGATGAGCTCAACTTCAGAAGACGAAAGCTATATCCTCCCGAAGATACAACAAGATGTTTTGGAATACTAACAGCCAAACCTATACCTCAGGTATAATACACATGTACATGCATTTCTCTTTTTTTTTTACATTTGCTTTAAGGTGTTCAAGCCAGTCTCTTACAGTAGAACTTCATATTTATCGAACACTTTTTGCTTTATCTTACCTGTCAGTTACCTAATATTTATGTTTTGAAATGTTTGAAACACTATAATAATAAAATGATCCAGATCAGTAACTCAGTTGCTTGTTTCTTTTTCATCATTGCTTTAGAGTGATGCAGTTTATATGGGAATTTTGTGAAATAGAGAATGCAGTTACACACATTGCCTCTCTGTAAAAGAACTTGATCATAGGAAGAAAATGTTTTTATATTATGACAGGCTTTCTAAATCCTATGCTTTCTTATCTTTCTATAATTGATACATATTTTAAGCAATGCCTTCTATTGTAGAATGCATATACACAAATTAAACTAAACCCAAGATTAATATTTCAAGTAACACTAATGTATGAGAGCATTATGTTCTTTCTTGTTTCTGCATATCTTCCAAAGTATGCATATTTCTCAAATGGGAGTATAATTTTGCTCCAGAAGTTACAGCTAATACAAAATGGAGTGGCGAGATTGTGGGTGAACATTCTCACTAAACTACAATAGGGAACTTTAAGGGAGTTTTCCTGCCCAAGAGGTTCGCATGACCCTAGCATTTCTTTTATTTCAGGACGCATTTCAAGCAAAACTATTTCAGCATGCTTTCAACCCCTAGTTTATTTGGTTTTATTTGGGCCCTCTGATAAGATTGATGGTTTCTTTAGTTTTTATATTGTTGTTCTTGTATTCCTCCCAGAATAGGTTAGGATTGGAATGGGCGATAAAGGATACTAATAAAATTCATGCTTAGTTATATACAAACCACATGTGCTCCTTAATCCTGATTTGCATCAAGAATTGTCTTTCTAAGGTAGCACCTTATAAATAATAACATTGCAGAAGAAAACCAAAAAATATAAAGGTTATAGTTATTTGAAAAATTGTGATATTCTTACAAGAAAACTGTATAAAAACTACATTGACTTGAATTTGACAAATATTCAGATTATAATATTAGCTTCTATGTGGCTACCATTCGTGGTTCTTGAATGAATCTATTACATTTTTCTGACAGTTTTCACTTTTAACCTGACATTAGCATGGGTTGGTTTTTGTGTTTGCAATCTATAATTTAATGTCTGTAAATATATAATGTATTTTTCAGAGTATAAGACACACTTTTTCCACCCCCAAAAGTGGGTGGAAATGTCTGTGCGTCTTACACAGCTTATGTTGGCAAAGCCCCGCCCACCTGCTGGACCCCACCCTTTGGCCACTGCCTCCCAGCAATTTGTCTCTTTGCAGCAAACAGCCTGTTTCAGCTTCAGCACAGCCTGATTAGCACAAGCAGCTGGTTGTCGGTTGGATCAGCCTCCCAACAACCAGCTGTTTCAGGCTGCAGGGATTGCCATTGCGTATTGTTGCTTCCAAGTGCCCCGTTTTTGGCCTCTGTGTGCTCCATTTTCCATCCATTTTGATCTCTGCCATCTGGAACGGGTCAAAAATGGGATGTGCAGAGGCTAAAAACGGGATGTGCGGAGGCTGAAAACGGGATATGGAGGCTAAAAATGGGATGCGCGGAGGCAATAAGCTATGGCAATCCCTGCAGCCTGAAACAGCTGATCATTGGGAGGCAATTCTCACAGACAATCAGCTGTTTATGCTAATCAGGCTGTGCTGAAGCTGAACAGGGTGTTTTTGCTGTTTGCTGCAAGGAAGCAAATTTCTGGGAGGCAGAGACAGCAGCACATTTTTTTTCTTGTTTTCTTTCCCCAAAACTAGGTGCGCCTTATACTTCAGAGTGTCTTATACTCCAAAAAATACAGTATACCCTTATGCTGGTTTGAATATTAGATGTACTTTGGTTATTAACAAGGGACACAAATTTTAGCCAATGCCTTCTGATAACCATCTTATAGTTGTTTGTTTGTTTACCTAGATTCCTCATTTTCCTGTATATACCCGCTCAGGAGAAGTGACTATATCTATTGAGTTAAAGAAATCAAGTTTCACTTTGTCATTACAAATGCTTGAGTTAATCACACGACTTCACCAATATATATTCTCTCATATTCTTCGACTTGAAAAACCTGCACTAGAATTCAGACCCACTGATGCTGATTCAGCCTATTGTGTTCTACCTCTTAATGTTGGTAAGAAGAGTGCTGCTTTATTTATTAATTAAAGTTACATACAGTTGATTAATGTCCTTTAAATTGTTTAACATCCTTTAACAATCCTTTATGTTAGAGCATTTTGTACAAAATGATTTGCAACACAAGCATAAAAATTTAACAAATAAAGGGGTTTTGTCTTTTAGTTGTTTTAGATTTTGAATATTACTTGTAAAAGCAGAAGCTAGAGAAATACTATAGTATATAAACTTTAGTCCTTAGAACAGTATTTCAGGTTGATTTCTATTCTTCTGAAATATTGATTACCATCAAAAGCCCTGTGGTGTTACAAAATAGATTTTGACAAAAATTATTTGGGATCATTAATTTACCATTTTAAAATATGTGCTAAGAATCTGAAAATATTTTCAGTTTTGAAATTCAAACAAAATATTTTGTTTTTAAGTTGATGGCTCCAGCACTTTGGACATTGATTTTAAATTTATGGAAAATATTGAGAAATCGGAAGCTCGTACTGGCATTCCCAGTACACAATATACAAAAGAAACACCATTCATTTTTAAATTAGAGGATTACCAGGATGCAGTTATCATTCCAAGGTGAGTATTTTCTGAAAATTGAAATTAATATCTCTATGTATTTAGAACTAGTTATATTTGTTCAGCTTTTAACAGTTTAATGCAAACATTAGAACATCCTATAGTGATAAAGTCTGACTTAAAGGAGTTGGAGTCCAGATTTCTTAAAAAGGTTACATGTCAAAATAAAAAAAAAGTTATCCCAAATAATAGAGTATTAAAACACTTTCGTTGATCCTAATAATTGCATAGTGTGAAGAAGTGCCCATCAGGAGTGATATGCAAAATGTTTCAAACTAAACTAATTCAAGTTTAAAGTAGAAATACCTTGTTTCAAAATCAGAAGAAAGTTGTTTAAGATGAGAACATTTCAAACTTGAAATAAGATACTTCAATTTAGAGACAATTGAAAATGGAAATGTTTTGCCTACCGCTACCCACTAGGCTTCCTAATACAAGATGTGGCATCACTAAAAGAGAAAGGAAATTTGATCACATAAATGTAGGATGCAAAATATTCTTCAGAATTTTTGACAGCAATAAAGAAAATTTTAGAGCTGTGTTAATATGGATAGGAAAATTCAATGGAAATTATATAATAAAACATGAAATATTTTAAGCATAGCTTGTAAAAAAAACTATGGAATCTCTGAATTAAAAATGGAATAGTAATAAAATATATTGTTTTACATTTACCTGATTAAACATAGAATGCTTCCTTTTTCTTTGGAAAATTTTCCTCCTAATTTCAATGAAGTTGCAACAGCCAAGATCAAAATAACTATTCAGTTAATTTTGTTCTTCAAAAGAATATCTATTGAAAGGAAGGGGATTTGTATTGTATTTTAATATTTGGGAATATCAACATCTTGCAGAAAATCTTACTGGAAGATAAGCTCATTGTTTTTGATCAGTAATTATTTTGAAAATAAAATTATATTTTATTTCAGACTGGTTTGTAATTAAATCCAACATCAGGAAATGGTAGACAATTTATTTGGCACAGTGTTTGACATTGGCATCGAAATATCTGTTTCTATCCAGGTATCGAAATTTTGACCAGCCTCATCGATTCTATGTTGCTGATGTCTACACAGATCTTACACCATTGAGCAAATTTCCTTCACCAGAATATGAAACATTTGCTGAATATTATAAAACAAAATACAACCTTGATCTGACCAATCTCAACCAGCCATTGCTGGATGTGGACCACACATCTTCAAGGTAAAGTCAACTATCAGAATTTACACATTTTTCCTTGTGGTGGTGATTTATAAACATATGGCATCAGGTTTCCATGTAGATGGTGACTTTAGACATATTTAATGTTACTTTTTTCAAAAAGAAATGTGTTCAGGGGACAATCCTAGACTAATGCATTTTCTTGAGAGGATTTTTCAGATCTGCTCTATAAGTGAATTCCCACTCCCAAAGGCTTTTTACTTTCATCATGGAACAATATATAGGTTGTTCTAATATCAACCCACTCTATCAGAGAAGATTAAAAACTTTTTGGGGAGGGGCGGTCATCCCCTTCATAGTCCCTAAACAGAAACATGTTTTACTGTCATCTTTTCGTAAGCACAATAAGCAGCAAATATTAAAATAGAATTAAAATAAAAGCTGGCTAAAGTCAAAGAAGGCTACAATTAGATTTCTCCACCTAAATAGGATGGTTCCTCTATTTACTTTTTCTCAACTCCTCCTGAATAGAATTGATGCACAAATCACTGACTCGGGGGAAAAAATCAATGACATGGCTAGATTTTTTTCCTACAGAAAAATCTCCATATTTTTCAGCTTATGATATACATTCAATTCAAAAGAAGCAAAACATCCCTACTACTAAACCTTACAGTATAAATCAATTTTTTTTTCTTGTTTCCATCTTTCAAAATGGAATTTGAAATATTATAGTAAGCCTTTTATAAAAAGCCTTGTCATTTTGTTATAGACTTAATCTTTTGACACCTCGACATTTGAATCAAAAGGGGAAAGCTCTTCCATTAAGCAGTGCAGAGAAACGGAAAGCCAAGTGGGAAAGTCTGCAAAATAAACAGGTAATAATATATTTTTTATTTTAGAGGGCTCAGTAGCACCTTGTTACTCTAAAATTTGTAAGATTTTAAAATGGAGTTTTGTCTTGTTTTCTATTAAAGATTTTGGTTCCAGAACTCTGCGCTATACATCCTATTCCAGCATCACTGTGGAGAAAAGCAGTTTGTCTCCCTAGTATCCTTTATCGTCTTCACTGCCTTTTGACAGCCGAGGAACTCAGATCTCAAACAGCTATTGATGCTGGTGTAGGAGTCAAGTCACTTCCTATGGATTTTAGGTATTAAATACATTATAGTTTAACTATGTAGGAACACTACTCTGGAGTTAGGCAATTTAACATGTTTTCACATAGCTTCTCAGTGGATCCATAAATGCCCTATCAGAACTTTGCGTTTTTCAGCTTACAGAAAAGAGATGTTTATATTTTACTAGTATATTTTCTAAGAACTAAAATGAAGTCTAATGATTTACTTGCCAATGTTAACTTGGATAACAATAGATAATTTTCCATAGTACAAATTTTTAAAGTTATACTTCCATAAATATTGCAGATGTTTATTTGTTTCTTACTTCTATTTATTACTTTTTTGAAATCAGTTCATTTTGTTCTCAGGTTTTTTTAGCTGCTGCTAATATCATGGACAACATCCAGAATTCACTGAATAGCAGGACTCCCATCTTTTAATTCTATCAAACAAAACAGTTATTAATTGATTTGGATTTTATGAGATCTAAAAGCAGTTTGCAAAGCAATATAGTTATAATGCCATTGGAGAGGGATATATTGAAAATCAACTATCAGCATTATAAACTAAGCCTTCTATACTTGTATCAATTAGACATTTTTAATTACATAATTTATTTTTCAGATATCCTAACCTGGACTTTGGATGGAAAAAATCTATTGACAGCAAATCCTTCATCTCTGCTCCTAATTCTTCTCTAGAAGAGAATGAAAATTATTGTAAGCACAGTGCAATTATAGTCCCTGAAAATGCTGCACATCAAGGTGCTATTAAAACCTCCTCCGCAGATAAGCATGACCAAATGTCTGTGAGCTACAGAGCATTGATAGATTCACCTAGCAAACTCCAAAAGGATGTCTCAGTAGAACTGGCAACAACTAACGGTGTTTCTTACAATAAAAAACTTGCCAATAGCAATTGTGACATATCTAACAGAGAAATTTGCCAAGAAAATCAACTGAGTTACTGCAGGCAAGAAATACCTGTACAATCAACTACCTCGTATCCTATTCAAAATTTATACAACAATGAGAACCAGCTCAAGTTCAGCAATGAATGTACTCTGAATAATAAATATCTTGATGGAAATGCTAACAATTCTACCTCAGATGATTGTCCCAAAATGGCAGTGACCACCAGTGCTTCAGAAGGTTGCAAGCCTTCAGAAGAAAGCATGGATTCTGTAACAAGCTCTTCCAGTGGTTATTCCTCAAGAACCCTTGGTCCAAACCCTGGTCTCATTCTTCAGGCATTGACTCTTTCAAATGCTAGTGATGGATTTAATCTGGAACGGCTTGAAATGCTTGGTGATTCATTTTTAAAACATGCCATCACTACATACTTGTTTTGCACTTATCCTGATGCTCATGAGGGACGCCTGTCGTATATGAGAAGCAAAAAAGTGAGTAGTGTATCCATGATTTTCCACTCTCTGAGAGTTTCAGTTTGTGTACAAACCAGCAAATCCAGTGACATGTAGCAGTGTTGTTGTAGTATGTACATATAGTTCCCACTGCCAGCTGCCTTGTTCACTGACCAATGAAAGTTACAACAGTGCTGTTGTAAGTGCTGATTTATAACCAGTCCTCGAACTTGTAACCATCACAGTGTTCTTTTGATTGCATGATTGTGATTCAGTTGTTTGTTACCAGCACACGTTGTGCCGATCACAACATCTTACTGTCACGGGATTGTCATATGCAATTTCACAACTGGTTCTGACAAGCAGTGTCCATGGACAAGCTGGCAGGAAGTTGCAAGTCACAGTCACCAGATGTTGCAATTAACAAACTAGTGATTTGTTTAATAACTGCAGCAGACATGACATAACTCTGGCACAGTCGTATGAAATTTCACTTAATGCCCACATTACTTAGTGAAGGAGTTGCCAGCCCTAATTGTGATCAATAAGTGAGGATTACCTATATTGACTTATTGTCTGTATTCTGTGTACTGTATGCATTTGCAAAAGTAATTTGAGTAACTGAAGAACAGCTTCGTTTACCTTTTTGTCACTTTAGAAATAATGATATTATAATGTACAGGTACTCCTCACTTTAGGACCATTATTTCAATGACCAAAGTTACAACAAAGCTATGGTGATGCTAAATAAATGGTAGTTATGTCTGGTCCTTGAAGTTACACCCGTTGCAGTGCCCCCATGGTCACATGATCAAAATTTGAATGCTTGGCAGCCTGTCCGCAGGAGGAGGAAGATGATGATGGTTAAGATCAGCAGGGGGCAACAGGGTAGGATGCAGTGGCAAGATTGGCCAAAGGGCAGAGATGGGAAGATCAGCGGGTGGGAGGAATTGAAGTAGATGTGAGCATAGTAGGATGGCAGAGCCTCATATGCTGGAGGGAGCTTGCTGGACCCAATTGGGGAGGAGGCAGCAGGATGAAGCTCGGTTTACACAGAGTAGGAGAAGGATGAGGTCCTCACCTAATGATGGTGTGGTTGTAACAACTGCAACTGGGAGTACCAGAACTACTGTTGCTAAGTGGCGTGGTGACGTGATGTTCTTCTAATAACTACTTCACTTCACCACATAAATTCCAGTATATCCTAATTATGTTCTTAAGTGAGGAGTACCTATACTGAGCTTACCTGATGGATTTCAGCTGTGTTTCCAAAAGTTACAAATTTAATAGAGGTAGATTTTACTATCTACCTTTGTAAACACGTGCATTGAATTTTTGAATATTCTGTTTATGATAAACTTTCCCCCCCTCAAAGGTCAGCAATTGTAACCTGTATCGTCTTGGAAAAAAGAAAGGGCTTCCTAGTCGCATGGTAGTGTCTATATTTGATCCTCCCGTGAACTGGCTTCCTCCTGGTTACATAGTAAACCAAGACAAGAGTAACACAGACAAATGGGGAAAAGATGAAATGGTAAGTCTTTTGAAATACTACATGTCTCAGTTACAAATGTGTTGTTGTTGCAAGAGAAACAAGAAGGCCCTTACAGAACCAGTCTTCCATAAAATATTGTCTGCTTTTTTATTTGTCTTAAAACAGCCTCTGCAATAAAAGTAGGATTAAACGTTATATTGGAAGATTAAATAATAAATGGAAATAAGCAAAAAATACTTGTGGTTTTGGAAAAGATAAGATTTTACTTGTCCTGTTTTGAAAAGATAAGATTTTTCCTCCCTTTACCTGTAAGCATAGAAGAATGAATAATTCAGTATTGAAGGTGTGTAAGCTGCACCTATTTAGCTTTTTAGTGAAAGTCATAATGCAGTTTTTTTTAAAGAAGGGTTGAATCAGACACAAAATAGCAATTAGGAGTCTCTTTCGTCTCATGACCAGTAATTTCTATTGTGACACTGTATGAAAATGCAAATATTCTCTTCAGAAATAACTCAACTTGAATGCATATTTGCTCAAATAACTCAAATCAAATATTTGCTTCATGCAAAAATTATAATTTGTGAGTTAAAACCTTATTTACCTGAAAGAATAGGAATCTTTTTTTAAGATAAGGCCCCCATTTGGAAAACCCTGACTATAAACAAGACAGTGCCTAAGTTCTTTGCCTTTTAAACTGAAGATTGCCAAATGTAATTACCATTGCTGGAAATTTATCTCCTCCCGGTCCAACCCATCTTATATTACAGATAAAATTATAATAAATAATGTTTAGTGTTTGTAAAATCTCAAAGAACATTATGAAAAAAATTATTTACATTCCCAGCTTTCAATTATTAGCCAAATAATTATTGGGTGTACAGAGATTTTTGTTCATTTCTTCCTGTGTTGAATACAAACTTCCTTGAGGACATACTCTGTTTTTGGGGTCATAAATGAATAAAAGTATGTTTCAAAGAAACACTACAGGTTATAGAACAAAATAGTTCTATATTGCAGAGCTAGTTAAATATGGCACAATATTCACACAATCAAATTTATTTTATCAGTGCCTGAAGAAAAGACACACAACTGTCTGAACCATATGCAAATTTTAAAAAATCTGAACAGTTCATGTCAGATACCAGTAGCTTAAATATCTTCTGCATAATTTATTTTTCCTATACATTATATTTAATTGCTCATTATAATGTTTCAAAAATATTTATGAGCGGATAACCTAAAGTAATACCATCTTATCTTCTGAATTATGTCAGACATCTTAATCATTATTTTTCGTGTATCTGTTTTCATTCAGTCATTTCTGAGATGGATTTATACCTATAAAATTATACTCTTGATATCAGTACAATGTCTATGTAACAGTTTTTGTTTCTATCAATCTTCCTATATAAAAATGTAAAAAGGAATTTATGACTCCTTATTTTGTCATCTTTCCTGGCTCTTCAGTTTCACTGATAAAGTGTCCAAAAAACAAGGGTCAGAATTAGCATACGAAATACAGGTTGGCTTTTATCATGCTAATTTTTAGCTGTTTCTTCTCAATATCTTTTGTTTTGTGACAAAATGCTTTTTTTTGAAGATCTATTTTATTCTGTATTGCATTCATGCAAATTTTACATGTAGTATTTTCTTTGTTATGAGACATCCAAATGCATAGCAAGGAAAAATAATAGATTTGATAAGTATTGGAATCAGGTGTCCTTTTCGTCCTAAAGTTCTTTAATATCCAATCCCAAATTCCTGAATTTACAACTGAAGCTGCAATTTAAGAAAAGTATTTCAGTGTTATTGTAATAAGGATTCTATTTTTACTGTTCCAGAATAGAACCAGATTTTGACAAAGTTTTCTGATAGTTTACTGTTGTGATTGGAAGGTCCAATCCTGTTAGGAACTTTGAATCTGATGACTGTTAGATCATGGATTGACGTCAGAACCAGGGAACGTTACTCCCTTTAGTTTGATTTGATTGTGAAATGACTGTTGAATTTCAAAAGGGAATCTTAACAGTTTTGCTTGCAGTTTTGAATGAGAACGTTACTCCCTGTAGTTTGATTTGATCGTGAAATGAGTGTTTGAATTTCAAAAGGGAATCCTAACAGTTTTGCCTGCAGTTTTGAATGAGAATGTTACAAGGGAGGACATTTGATTTGCAGGACCGGCCTGAACCTTCAACCTCCTCGGCTTCTCAATCAGGTTATCAGCCGGGAAGTCTTCAGGTGAAAGTAATAATTTAGATAATCGCTGGGTGGATATCAGAAGCAGGCGTCTCCTGACGAGAGAAACCAACGGGAGCACAGGAGGAGGGCAGATCAGTAATTAGACTAATTAGCTGCTGCTCTATAAAAGGAAGAGGGATGACTCTGCACTCTTGTCGGGAACAAATTGTCTGCAAGGAGAGCTGAAGACTTTGACTTGGAGGATTTGGGTCTGAAGTATTTTTGTTTGAATTGGATTTGTTGGAACTATTATTTTGGATTGTTTTGTGGAGGCTGGCCACAGCTGTGATCGGTGGAGACTCCTGGTTGTTGCCTTTGTTTGCGAGGACTGCTGCTTTCAGCCTTATCTGTTTATTTTTGAAGGTGGGACATAACAGTTTACTATTTAACCACAGGTGTTATATTGCCTTACAGAATCTGAATTCCTAAAATCACAACTTTGAACTAATATTTCTCCTGCTTTCTCAAAATAATTGTTGCAAAAATACATGTAATGGTATCTTAAAATGCTTGTTTAGAGCTCCTTGGTGTAGATTATTTTAGACCAAGTTCTGGATTCTTATATTACTATGAATTGCTTTACGGTATAATAAAGAATATTGTTTGCCAAAAACAATATTGCTAGACTTCTAGGTGGAATAAACTGAATGATATTGTTGTACTTACTTTCCCTTGAATTTATCTGCAATAATTACAACAGAAGTCCACAGTAGTTTTTTAGGTTTATAATTAGTGTTTTATCCGTTAAAAAGTGATTAGATTGATTAGATTTTTTGTGTGTGTGCGTATCTGTTTTCTGAGATTCATACTTTGACTACAAAACCACTAGAGGGCACAATAAAAATATTACAATGTAATATTATTGTACCATAAAATATTTTTATTGCCTAAATTTATACAAAAAAGGAAAATGATTAAAAATGAATTTGCTAGCAGCATTATTAGCCTGAAAGCATAAATGGATAATTACCCTAATAAAATTTTGAAAGCAGCAGAATACCTCAAAAACTATGACCATTTTTTTAAAAAGGAATTAATATTAAGTGAATTTAAAAGACAAAGTTAGGTGCTGATACTCAATTATTTAAGTTGAGTAAAAAGTATAGAAGTCCAGAACTCTTCAAACTGAATAAATACCTTCATATGAACAATGCAAATGTCCAAAATTATGAACTTTTAAGGTTTCTGGTTATTTATTTTATTTAGCGCATGTCAAGGTTTCTGGTAATAATTTTGGAAAGAGTAGAAAGTCACGCTGATGATACTTCCATCATTTCTAGACAATCTCTGTTGTGGTCTGTACTTGTGAACAATTTTGGTTACCCCACGTATAATTGATAGTGTACAGCTGAAAAAGGTGAATAAAGGTAATCAAAATTATTAACTATTTCTTCTGTGAGGTTGTATTCAAGGATTTTTAGTTAAAATGAAAATAACTTCATTTTTATTAGTCTTGAGTAGAAAAATTTCTGATTAAGTTAGATCATAGAAGACTTGTGCTTGTAATAAAAGAAATGCTTCCTTAGACTGTAATGCTATGCATGGTGTTAAAAGAGAATTAGACAAATCAATGACTGCTTTGTCATGATTGTTGTACTTTATTTTATTTTAAAGGGATATAAAATTTAAATCACAAATTCATAGTGGTAACTAGCTGAAGCTCTTTTTAAAGAATTATAAATGTTCAGCTTTCTCAGAAGTTTTCATTGCATAAAATTGTGGTTGGAAAATGACAGTGGTGGTACAGACTTGTATTCATACCTGCATTGATTGAGCCTCCAGCTGAGCAGATAAGGTCTTATCTGGTACAGGGTAGTACAGCTAAGTCTTTTCTTAGCTAGTTAGGAAAAGGACAAGAAAAATGTATGTTATATCCTGTTTGAATTCCTCACTTTTTAAAAATCTTGGATAATATACAAAGTTTCCTTTATTGTAGGGGGAGAGGAAATACAGAAAAGAAACCAGCAGTTTCTTGTAATTCAGCATTGTTATTATTCTTGCTGTTTACATTCCGCCAGACGCAAATGCAGATTTGGCTCTGGGCTTCCTGGGTGATGAAATTGGCAACTTGCAAAGCAAATTTCCAGATGCTGTATTCATTATTGCAGGAGATTTTAATCATGTAGATCTTCGTGTGGTCCTCCCTAAATTCTATCAACATATAAGGTGTGCAACTAGGGGATCGAACACCTTGGATAAGGTCTACACGAATATTGTAAATGGATACAGGGTATTACAACTACCACATCTGGGCCAGTCAGATCACTTGTCTCTGCTTTTAGCCCCGGAGTATATTCCTCTGAGAAAACAGGCGGGGTCGGTAGTCAAGACGGTGAAAAGCTGGCCAGAGGGAGCAATGGAGCAGCTAAAGGACTGCTTCGAATGCACAAACTGGGAAGTTTTTGATCATCCTGATCTCAACGAACACACGGCTGCCGTGCTAGGGTATATGGCACACTGTATTGATACTGTCACGGTGGATAAACGAATCCGGGTGTATCCTAATGAAAAACCTTGGATGACCGGGAAGGTTAGACGCTTGTTGTACGCAAGAAATAAGGCTTTTAAGTCTGGGAATGATCTAGATTATAGTGCTGCAAGAACAAACTTGGAGAGAGGTATTAAGCAAGCTAAGGCCGAATATAAGAGGAGAATTGAAGACTGCTTTCTCAGTAATAACATGAGGCAGGTTTGGCAGGGGGTTCAACAACTAACGAACTATAAAGCAAAAAAGGTCTCTTTGGATGGTAGTGCGGCGGTGGTTGAGGAGTTGAACAATTTTTTTGCTCGATTTGAGATCCATCAAACTGAAACTGTCCCTTTGCCATCATTTACTCAGCAGAGCCTCCCCTTCATTGTGAATGAGCAGGATGTGAGGCAGACAGTGAAGGTGGTTAATTCCAGAAAGTCAGCTGGGCCCGACTCAATTCCTGGTCGTGTGGTAAAAGATTGTGCTGATCAGCTAGCTGGGGTGTGGACTGAAATTTTTAATCGATCCTTGACACAAAGTGTGGTTCCTGTGTGTCTCAAGGCTTCCACCATCGTTCCACTGCCTAAAAAGTTGCCCACAAATGGTCCTAGCGACTATAGGCCGGTAGCACTAACTTCTATCTTAATGAAGTGCTTTGAGAAGCTAGTTCTAAATTATATTATCTCCTGCCTTCCTGATTCCTTTGATGGGCTTCAGTTTGCTTACAAAGAAAATAGATCAACCGAGGATGCAATTATTACTGTGCTTCACATGGCCTTATCCCATTTGGAAACACCGGGGAATTATGTAAGAATGTTGTTCGCAGATTTTAGTTCTGCTTTCAATACCATCATACCGCACAGATTAATAGCCAAGCTCAAAGATCTAGATTTTCCAGATTCTATTTGTTTATGGATATTGGATTTTTTAACAAATCGTCCACAAAGAGTTAAACTGAATGATTATATTTCTACTGTCAAGACACTTAGCATTGGCACTCCGCAAGGTTGTGTCCTTAGTCCACTACTGTTCTCCATTTATTCATCAGATTGCACAAATAAACATCCCAACAATAAGATAATAAAATTTGCAGACGATACTACGCTTGTAGGACTTATTTCTGGGGATGATGAGTCTGCATATCGGGATGAGGTATTACAGCTATCCCACTGGTGCAAAAATAATAATCTTCTATTTAACATTAAGAAGACCAAGGAGGTTATAGTGGACTATAGGAAAAAAAGAGCAGACATTCAGCCACTGTATATAGAGGGAGTTCGTGTGGAACAGGTGGTTGAATGTAAGTATCTCGGGACCATCATTACAAATGACCTGACCTGGAGTGCAAACACCGCTGCTTTAATTAAGAAGGCACAACAACGGTTGTATTTACTAAGGATTCTTAGGAAACAACAACTGGCTGAGAGTCTACTGACTACCTTCTATCGGAGTTCAATTGAGAGTATATTATCCTACTGTCTCTGTGTATGGTTCTCGAGCTGCACAGTGGCAGAGAAAAAGGCAATTCAGAGGGTGATTAAGATGGCCCAAAACATCATTGGCTGCTCACTCCCCTCTTTGGAAGAACGGTATAGGAATAGATGTAAGAGGAAGATATTTAATATATTGAATGACTCCTCTCATCCGGGACATCAGCTCTTTGAACTATTACCATCGAGAAGGAGATTCAGGGTATTAAGAACAAGGACGACTAGATTTAAGAACAGTTTTTATCCAAGTGCAGTTTTGAGCTTGAATGCAGGGTCATAAGATTTTTGTGGAATTTAATGGCTGAGAGTAATGGGGTATTTACCTTTTTAAATTGTATAGAGATTATTGTATGGTCTGTTGTGTTTAATTTTATTTTTCTTTCAATGGTGTTGTCCAGTTTTACTTGTGGAAGAGCACCTCATTTCGTTGCACCCGCTTGCGAGTGTAATGACAAATAAATTCTTATGTCTTATGTCTTCTTTTGGAGGTAATTTCAATTTCTATTAGGCACCAATTATAAAGTAGAATTGAAAATATAGCTCAGCAAAAACAAACTGAAGTCTTCTTTCTATATAAATGTCCAAATTCAAAACCATTAATGTGGAGTTTTTATTATTGCCTTCATATCATTTTTTGGCTTTCTTTAGGTAGATAGCACCATACATATAAGCAGCCCTTTTTGTGTCTGTAGAAGCAATGGTCGCCAACCAGGGGGCTGGGGATCACTGGTGGACCACGAGAAAATTTTAATGGTCCGCAGAGAAATGTCACCCCCCAAAGCAATTAATCCAGGTTGCGCAGAAACACAAGGCTGTGCTGCCCACATGGCCTGTGGGAACACAAGGCTTGTGTTGCATTGCGAACAACACGAGGTAGTGAGGGGAGGGGGGAAAGGGCAGAGAGGAGGAACTTGCTCCACTCACCCCATGTGCCTCGCCTAGCCACCTGGCCGCTTCTTTTTTCTTTTGCTTTTGGCTGCACGCAAGGAAAGGAGCAAAAGTCTTTCTTTCTCTCCCCCAAGCTCCACCAGAAATGAGTCTTTGGGACCCTGCAAGGCATCCTGCTCCAAGAGACTACACCAGTGTGACAAGTCTCACAAAGACTCATTTCTGGCAGAGTTTGGGGGAGAGAAAGAAAGACTTCTGTTGCTTTCCTTGCATGAAGCCAAAAGTCTTTCCCCCCCTCCCCCCCGAACAGAGCTGGAGACTGTATCCTGCCATCTCAAATAAATAAATAAATAAATGATCGATCGGTAGGAAAACGAGGTGGGGAATTTTCCTGCAGACTTTTTGGGGAAGCCACCGTCGGTCAAAATTCATATTAGTGGTCCACAGGATTTAAAATTATGAGTTTGGTGGTCTCTGAGGTTCAAAAGGTTGGTGACCCCTGTATTAAAGCATCCTGAAAACTACTTAATTAACCCTTAAAACATTTGAATTACCAAAGTCCGATGAAATAATTTTGCATGATCATAGAAATCTCAAATATTTTTAACCATTTTTGTTTCTTTGTTTGTTTTGTGCCCACATTTCCTTCTGTGATCTTGTGATGATATCTGAAAAGATTGCCCTCTTAGAATTTTGGGATGTAAATAACTTGTAGGAGGCCAGTTCGATAATTAGATGTTTTGATATACAGGTAGTCTGCAACTTACAACTGTTTATTTAGTGACCATTTGAAGTTACAACAGCAGTGAAACAAGTGACTTATGAGGATTTTTCACACTTACCACCATTGCGGCATCCCTGTGGTCATGTGATTTACATTCAGATGTTTGACAGCTGACTCACATTTAGGACAGTTGCAGTGTCCTGGGGTCTTGTGATCCTTTTTTGTTGACTTTCTGACAAGCAAAGTCAACGGGAAAGTCAATTCACTTAACAATTGTGTTACTAATTTCACAGCTACAGTGATTCATTTAAAAATGTGGCAAGAAAGGTCATAAAATGAGACAAAACTCACTTAACTAATTTCTCACTTAGCATAAATTTTGGGCTCAATTGTGGTTGTAAGTTGAGGACTACCTGTATAGCACTTCTTTTCTGAATTAGTCTTGTCTTTATCTTCATCCAGCTAAGACGACTGTCATCAGTTTAGCGTTTTTATTCCCCACGTTGGACATTAGAAATGAGACAAAAATTAGCATAGTCTGTATCCTAATGATTTCCAAATCAAAATACGCAGGTTATTTTACCATTAGATTTATTTAGATGTTAAAAACATGGATAAGATTATGGAGCTTAACAGCAAACAACTATGGGAGAAATGTTTGTTCCAAGATCTACCTTCTAAGAGGAATCGGAACCACTGCCCAAGAATATTTCTATTGATCGACAACATTTACTGCATTTAAATTTTATCTACAGCTATTTTACATGAAGTTACAACATTATTGCAAAATTTTAACATGAGGTTTTTTTTCTATTTTTAGACAAAAGAGGGCTTACTGTCTAATGGAAAACATGATTATGACGATGATGACGATGACGATGAGTTAATGTGGCGAGTACCCAAGGAAGAAACTGAGTTTGAAGATGACTTTTTGGAATATGATCAGGAGCATATCAAATTTATTGACAACATGTTAATGGGTTCTGGAGCATTTGTAAAGAAAATATCACTGTCTCCGTTTTCACCTGCTGATAGCAGTTATGAATGGAAAGCACCCAAAAAATCATCTTTGACTAATGTTCAATTTTCATCAGATTTTGATGATTTTGACTATAGCTCATGGGATGCAATGTGCTACTTAGATCCTAGCAAAGCTGTTGAAGAGGATGATTTTGTTGTAGGTTTCTGGAATCCATCAGAGGAAAATTGTGGTATTGATGCTGGAAAACAATCTATCTCATATGATTTGCATACAGAACAGTGCATTGCTGACAAAAGCATTGCAGACTGTGTAGAAGCCCTTTTGGGATGTTATCTGACCAGCTGTGGGGAAAGAGCTGCCCAGCTTTTCCTCTGTTCATTGGGTCTGAAAGTGCTTCCAGTTATTAAAAAAACTGAGTGGGACAATGTTCTGTACTCTTACAGAGACCATTTTAATAGCCAACAGAAGCATTCTTCAGCAAACTGCATTTCTGCCTCTTTAGCTAAGCAAGAATCTTCTCACTATAAAGACTTGGTATATGGCTGTTTAAAGATTCCTCCAAGATGTATGTTTGATCATCCAGATGCTGAGACAACCTTAAATCATCTTATATCAGGCTTTGAAAACTTTGAGAAAAAAATTAACTACAATTTTAAGAACAAGGCTTATCTTCTTCAGGCATTTACTCATGCCTCGTATCATTACAACACCATTACTGGTGAGTCACATAGAATTTTCTCTAAGCTTGTGTACTTAAAGGAATGGAAATTATTTGAAAGAGGTGTTAATTGTATTATTCTATAATTCTCTCTTATCCCACAATCCTTATCAAGATTGTTACCAGCGGTTAGAATTTCTGGGAGATGCAATTTTGGACTACCTCATAACTAAGCACCTTTACGAAGACCCACGACAGCACTCACCAGGAGTCCTAACAGACTTGAGATCAGCTCTTGTAAACAACACCATCTTTGCCTCACTGGCTGTAAAATATGACTACCACAAATATTTCAAAGCTGTTTCTCCTGAGCTGTTTCATGTTATTGATGATTTTGTACAGTTTCAAATGGAAAAGAATGAAATGCAAGGAATGGATTCTGAGGTTAGTCACAAAAATACTAGTAATTTTGATTTGAGTATCATTTAAAATATATGGATTTATGCATAGGACATAAAACAGCAATAATGGTATAGACAGCTTTCTGTAATTCAGAAGTGCCATTTGCAATATATATTTACAAATTAATGAATGTGTTCAAATAAATCATTCATACACACAAACCCACAGATCATAAAAACATAATCTCTCAGTTGTATGCATATGGATACAAATAACCCCTTGTAAAAAATAAAACAGAAATTTCACTTCCCAGGCAACAGAAAATTGAGCTATTCTTTTTACTACAAGGAGAGAGCAACTCTCCGGCTTGGATTCTACCTATGAGAAGAAGGCAAATTTGCTAAAAATTTTGCTTTCCTTCTCCACTGCTGCTGCTTCCTATCTTATCATGTCTCACCTAGCAGCCTTCTTAGTAATGACGCTGATAGGCCTCTGCCAAAATTCTTTCCACAGAATTCCTTAATTCTGTGCAAGTAGCCAAGTAAGCCAGTTTTATCACAGTCAAACAGACTAGGATACAGTCCAGTTGTATTTTTAATATAAACTTTGCAATGACTTTTATTGGTCAACTCTTTCTGATGACTTTTAGCTCCGAAGATCTGAAGAAGATGAAGAAAAAGAAGAAGATATAGAAGTACCAAAGGCTATGGGAGATATATTTGAGTCCCTTGCTGGTGCAATTTACATGGATAGTGAAATGTCTCTGGAAATGGTTTGGCAAGTGTATTATCCAATGATGAGGCCATTAATAGGTAATGTAATTGTTTTCAGAAAAAAAAGGTTCTGTTTATTACTTTGATTAGGAGATTACAATTTTCTATATATTTTTATTATAGAAAAATTCTCTGCAAATGTGCCCCGTTCGCCAGTAAGAGAGCTGTTGGAAATGGAGCCAGAGACAGCCAAATTTAGGTAAGAATTCCTGTTTTTAATATTTAAATAAATCTATATAATAATTTTATGCTGACTTTGTATGAGAGAGAGAGTGGGTGGTAAACATGACTTTTTCCCCATGTATCAAAAACTGGTTTATACTAGTATATGTAACTCTACAATTACATATAAGGTCCATGATTTTACTTGGTTATTGTCATGCGCAAATAACCAGAAACAGAAGTTGAGTTCAAAGCACAAAATTTATTACATGCTACCTATACTCAAGACTCTGATCTACTAATGGTCAAGGCAAATTAATGTTAGATAAAAGTCAACATAATTCACTGGGGGGAGGGAGGTGGACTTTGGCCTCTTGTGGGAGCTTAGCAACTCCAAACCAATGATATGTTTGCCTTGCCTTCAGATTCTGCCAGATCATCTCCTACCGTTATCATATTATTGCAAGAAGATTAAATAAATATATCTGTACTGTGGGATTACTATTGCTATTCTTTGGAATTAATTTCATATTTACTATTTTCATTGTAATTTGACTTTTTGTTTTTGTTCTAATTTGTATTCATATAGTCCTGCTGAAAGAACTTATGATGGAAAGGTTAGAGTAACAGTGGAAGTTGTAGGAAAGGGGAAGTTCAAAGGTGTTGGAAGAAGCTATCGGATTGCCAAATCAGCAGCAGCAAGAAGAGCTCTACGAAGCCTCAAAGCAAATCAACCTCAGGTTCCGAAAAGCTGAGACGTCTTCTTAAAAAACAAATATACCATAAAGAGAAAATTTTTAAAAATATATGTGCTGAGAGGAAAAAAACTGAAGACAGCAATTAAAGTTTGGTAATAAAGTAGTTAACAACATTAACATGTATACATAATTTTGGAACTAATTGTAGTTATAGGTTTTTTGCGCAAACACAATCTTGTCTTCTTTCCTCACTTCTGCTTTGTTTAATCACAAGAGTGCTTTAATATTTAGCAAGTGTTCAAAACAATTGTCAGGTCCTTGGGTTTACTTTTCCACTACAGTACAGGTTTGCTTTGCTTAGCTTAAAGGCCAGGGAGCCATGTCTCTTGTGAGATAAATATCTGTATCTCTATTATCTAGAAATATGGGTATATCTTGAAATTCCTTTAATCTGTGCACTAGTGCCAGTCACAAAGCAGTTATAAACTGTGCTGGATAATATGGTGTAAAAATAAGTGTGCCAGTATTGTCCTTGTTCTTTCCATGTCATCTTTGCATTAAGATGGCATTCCCAATCATTATTGCACTTATTTGTTAGGGACAGATTTTTAATTGAAATGTCTTGCATTCAATAGAATTTTAAATTGATGCCACATAGTCTTGCATTAAAGGTTCTTGCCTTAAAAATATGTACACCCTCAAAATTAGAAAACTTTCAGGTTTTTTTTAATCTCTTTGGAACAAATTGTATTATATTCCCTCCACTTTTAGAATGCATTTTGCAATGATAAATCTCTGTATTTACAGTACTTGTTAGTTTAGCTGTGACTTAACTTATTACGCAAGTAATAGAATTGTATTCATATATCTGTAGTGAGGTTATTTTTAACATTTCAAAGGAAATTATTAGTACAGACTTTATTTGATATTGCAAAGGAAATGTTTTTTCTTAATTTACATTGTTAAGAAACCAAGAGTCTAGACTAAGCAGTGTCCATTACTCTTGTAGAACTTCCTTTCACTGCAAGGGGCTTATGCAGGAGATTTTCTTGGTGGATTACTGCCATGGTTTACTGGAACTTAGTAATGATAATTGCACAGTGTGAACTGTTGCATTTTAAAAAAAGAAATAAGAACCTTTGACATATCGCACCTAAAATATGCTGCAGTTTTTTTTATTGGATACCTATTTAACAAATAGAGCACCTTTACACCTTTAAAAGCAATTTCCACATAATTCTTACTGTACTTTTCAGAGTTGCATGCATATTTCACCTACCAAAGCTGTGCTGTTAAAATGCCATGGAAGTTGTTGTGTGAGAGAAACTGCCATACTTTTGATACATCTGTGACTTAGGTTCTTTAATGTAGAGTGAGTAGCTTATTATTGTTGTTTAAGTTGATATGAAATCGTAAATTGTTAGGCTATGCCTCAATTTCTTTATACATTTGTAGGCACCCTTCACTTAAATACCTCAGTTCTTTGTTCTTTTTATGTCTTTTTTTTCTCCTTTTTTGCATGCATCGTTTTTTGTTTGTTTGTTTTTGGTGCTATGTGTATGTATTATGCTTGAAATTTTAATTTTTGCACTGTAACTATAATACCTCTTAATTTACCTTTATAAAAAGCTGTGGGTCATCTTGCACTCCCACCAATATCAATAGAGGTTTGCTGCAATTTTACCCCTGTTAATTATGCTTGAAGTTTGAGAGAACTGAGCAAAGTTTTTAATGTTTTCCAGCACAGTGGTTTACTCTTGATGGTTTTTAAAGTGCTAAATTACAGATAATCCTATTCTCCACATTTAAAGGCACACACCCCTTTCCACACCAGGATATTCATTCAAACTGTAAAAAAGGGGAGCATCTGGTTTATCTTTGTGAAGAATAGAATCATAACTTAGTAAGAAAAAAAAAATAAGTTAAATTTCAGGATTTAATTTTGAGTGACAGATACCTTGTTTAAATTCATAATAATGAATCAAAATAGTATTTGTGTGCAGCTTAATTTAATGAGAGAATAAAATGCATGGAAGTGCATACAAGTTTTTGTATGTGTATAGCGCAACCATTTCAGAAATATGAAGAAGCAGTTTTTTCAGCTTTAAAATAGTCTGTTCTTCATTTCAGCATGAATGGTTACCATTGATTTTGTTCAAAAAGAATTAAATATCTCTCTCTCCGCCCTCTCTCTCTTGGTCCCTCCCTCCCCTCTCACCCCCACCCCAAATAGATAAAGACTGATACTAAAACTGTATTTTGGACTATGGATAGGTGCTTTGGCATTGAAACAAGACATAATTCCTCTTCAGCCTCTGATTCTTTAGTTGGTTATATCCATATTCATACATCATATTTCCGCTTTCAGTAAAGCGGGGGGACATATAAGATCTCCTTATGGAATAACAACACTGTAAAGATGATTTTAAAATAAATATTGTTAAATTCACCATTGTGGCTCAAAGTAAACATAACTACTAAATAATTGTTAGTAAAATGGTTTTTCCCGGGAACCTTTTCCTTGTTTTTTTCCAGATTAGCCTTTAAAAAATACTCATACAGGGTTTTTTTTAAATAACATGTGTTATCCCAATCACATGTATACATTTTTGCGGTTTTATAAAATGCCATACCCAAAATACAATCCAATCATATTCAACGAACACATTTCGTACTTGAATAATTTCAAAGAATAGGATATTACATGATAGCAATTGAAGAGTCTGATAATGAAATTCCCTTATCTAAACCTATTCAGTGCCTCCACAATACAACAAGCCATGTAATTGAAATTACTGAATAAGACCAATTATAAATCTGGGTCCTGCTGCTGTGCGTGTCTGTGCACAGTATTGCAATGTCTCTGTTCTGGCATTTAGCTCAATTGTTAGAATGCACAAAGGTAACACAAAACCCACACATAAAATTTTTGATCTTGTACAACTGTTTTCCCTTTTCTAGAAAATACAATTGAGTATTTTGGGGGTATTTTCGAGACCTAAATTTGAAAATTAGGACCGTTATTTTTTTATACACCACAAGCATCAGATGAAAGGGACTGTTGCAAACCTGTCTTGTATAACACAGATTCGTCATGTAGACAACTGAGGGGTTAATGGCATAAATGTATTTTCAGATGTTTGTGTCTATATGTTAAACTGTCTTGCTTACGGTCCTCCTAACTATGCTGCATTTTTTTAATTTTTATTATGGCTTTGTTTTGTGCTATTCTGTTCATATAGCATAAATAATCATTGCACTTGGTACCATGCTTTACCTCATTTCAAGGAGAAATACCCTTTTAACAGAAAATATGATTCGGAACTTGCTGCTGTTTTGGTTTGTTAAATTTGAATAAAACCACTAGAGTGTTTGCAGTATGTCAGTTAACTTGTACAAGTGGAAAAGGCCATTTGCTGTTGGTTTCCTATGGCATGTTAGTATATTTGTTTCATTTAAATGACTGACTAATGAAACATTTCCATGGAGCCCTTTGTATGATTAGAAGATACTGCCTCAAGTGTGTACTCCTGTATTTTATAAGATTTCTTTCAGTTGGTGATGCTTTATGCCATAGTTTTTGGAAGTTTCTCATCTCCACAGGAGTATATATTTCAATAGATACAAAAGGCTGCAACAGAAAGGAGTTGAGAGGACTATCTGTGCATGAACAGAATCTTGCTAAATGCTTCCCTCTATCTTTATCACTTATTTTTTAATTTCTTATACCACATTTTAATTTTTTTTATAAAAATGGTTAAATGTTAAATTTAACTTTTATGTACTCCCCTTGATGTAAATCTACATGTCTACATGATGGTCACTTACATTCTCCTTCATTTCGGATGTGAAAGGATCTGGTAACTTTTTATAAAAGTTCTTTTCAGTGTAACTCTTGGTTCTGTTCCATTCTAAACATACTATAAGTGGTATAAATTAATAGTAAAGGCCTTTTCAAATTGGAAGTTATTTGACCATACTAAAGCCATGCATTATTCTTCTATATTCTTCAATGAACATAGTAGAATAAGTTGTATGTGACTAATGAACACAAGGTTGAATCAAAGTTGAGTCAATCATATTGATGGCAAATTTCATGTTCAGTAAGGAAAGATTTGATAATTATAATTATATAATTTTTATTCAAAAATGTATAATTTACAACTGTAAAACATAACTGAAACCTAACAGCATTCACCAGCAGAAATCTGATAACAGATCTCCAGGGTGTCAGTGTAGAATACAAAACAGTAGCCGCAATGTATTTGAAGAATAATTCTACATATATCTGTCTGTCTCAAAGTCTGCTAATAGGTTCCCTCTACTTGTTTGTGTTTTATAATTTGGATAACCATAGACTGTTTAAACTGATGTCATTCATGTAAATGGTTTACTACAAAAGGAAGTTATATGGAGAAACAGAAGTTGGAAAAAAAGTTGAAAATTGCAGGCTTTTAAACTGTTAACAGTTTGACTTGAAAATGGTTAAAATCAAGTAGAATGAATAACATAATTTTATGGACAATAAAAGATTCCCATCACATGCTGCAGCTGTCTTAAGGGACATAAAATGTAATTCATTCATACTGTAATCATGCTGCAGGAAATTGCAGTCTGCACCTTATGGATCACAGTTACCTTTAATATTTTTTTGTAAAATTGTAGCTGAATCTATCCCCAATAAAGTTATGTTCTGTTCATTCTTGTGTTTTTTCTGTATTTAACACAGCAATGCGTATATCAGATTGGATTATTGTTCGTTAAACATACTGCCTTTACTATAAGAGCCAAGCATACACAATAAGTTGCTGATTTCACATGTACATTTGAACAATAAATAGTATATGAAATCTTTGTCAATCAAGGAACTAAATCTTCCTAAATCATAATGAGAATATAGGACAGATAGTTCATAAAAATAGTCTTGTCCACGAGACACTTTCATCTACCTTATCAGAAACAGATTTTAGGAATAGAATTCTAAGAATGAAGATAAACTAACCTGCTGTCTTGGAATAGATAAGACTTCAACCTGAGTACCAAAGCTCTATGCCCTATTTTATCCCAGAATTTTTTTCCTAATAAATAGTCTGGAAGCAGGGTAATCAAGCTAATAATTCTTCATAAACCTTTCTGTTTAAATGCAGTGGAACACTGTTTGATCTCTAAAAATTATCACTTGTTACTAAAAGATTAAAACGGGAATAGATGAGCTGAGTGTCCAATGTCTTAATCAGTATACTACAGTACCCCATTTCTACAGCAGCAATAGTTTATCCTCAATTTTACTCACAAAGCATCTTTGTAAAAAAAAATCTCTACTTTCTATAGTAAATAAGAACTTTTCCCCATTTAGAAATGACTATGTGGTTTTGAAGCCATTTTTTAATCTATCTTCCCTATACTTCTCATTAGCAGTCGCTAAAGTTCTTAACTAACTACTGCCAATCATGAGTTTACTTCAGTATACATTGCATTCAGAAAGTATTCATACCCCCTTTTGTCAATTTTGTTATGCTGCAGCCTGATTCTACAGTTGCTGAAATTCGTTTTCTTCCTCATTAATCTACATTCAACACCCCATAATGACAAAGTGAAAACAGAAATTTAGAAATGTCTGCAAATTTATTAAAAAGAAAAAACAAATCACTTTGGCATAAGTGTTCGGACCTTTTGCAACAACACTTGAAATTTAGCTCAGTGCCTCCCATTTCTTTTGATCATTGCTGACATGTTTCTATGTCTTGATTAGGTAAATTGATTGGACATGATTTGGAAAGGCACACCTCTACAGAAGGCCTCACAGCGGACAATGCATACTGTAGCAGAACAAAAGCCATGAGGTCAAAGGAACTGTCTGCAGAGCTCAGAGGATTATAACAAGACAGATCTGGGGAAGATTACAATAAAATTTATGCTGCACTGAAGTTCCTAAGAGCATAGTGGCCTCTATAATTCTCAAATGGAAGAAGTTTGGCACAACCAAGACTCACTCAAGAGCCGCCCGCCTGGTCAAAAGGTAATGGGACGGGGTAAGGCCCTTAGTAAGGGAGGTGACCAAGGATTCGATGGTCACTGAGCTCCAGAGACCTTCTGTGGAGATGGGACAAGAGTTCCAGACAACCATCACTGCAGCCTTCCACTGATCTGGGCTTTATGTCAGAGTAGGTAGACAGAATCCTCTCCTAAGTGCAAAATACACGGAAGCCTGCTTGGAGTTTGCAAAAAAGCACCTGAAGATTGAGGAATAAGATTGTCTGGTCTGATGAAACCAAGATTGAACTGTTTGGCCTCAATTCTAAACATTATGTCTGGAAGAAACCAGGCACTGCTCATCACCAGAGGTGATACTCAGCAGGTTCTGATCAGTTCTGGAGAACCGGTAACGGAAATTTTGAGTAGTTTGGAGAACCGGCAAATACCACCTCTGACTGGAGATTTTACAGTATCCTTCCCCTGCCACGCCCACCAAGCCATGCTCACAGAACCAGTAGTAAAAAAAAATTGAATCCCACCACTGCTCATCACCAGCCAATATCACCCCAACAATGAAGCATGTTGATCATGCTGTGGGAGTGTTTTTCAGCAGCAGGGATTGGAAGACTGGGTTGAAGGAAAGCTGAATGGAGCAAAGTACAGGGATATCCTCAGTGAAAACCTGTTCTCCAGCACCCAGGACCTCAGACTGTGGCTAAGGTTCACTTTCCAACATGACAGCAATTCTAAACACACAGCCAAGACAACAGGAGTGGCTTAGGGCAACTCTGTGAATGTCCTAAAGTGACCCAGCCAGAGCCCTGACCTGAACCTTATTGAACATCTCTGGAGGGACCTGAAAATGGCTGTCTACTGATGGTTGCCACCCAACTTAGAGTATTTGCAAGGAAGAATGACAGAAAATCCCCCAATCCAGGGATGTAAAGCTTGTCATGTCATACCCAAAAAGACTCCAGGCTGTAATTGCTGCCAGAGGTGCTTCAACAAAGTACTGAGTGAAGAGTCTGAATACAATGTGATGTTTCAGTTTTTTAATTTAAAAATAAATAAATTTACAGACATTTTTAAAATTGTATTTTCACTTAGACATGGGATACTGAGTGTAGATTAGTGAGGGAAAAAATTTCAACAACTGAAGAATCAGGCTACAACATAAAATTGACAAAAGCGAAGGGGGTCTGAATACTTTCTGAATGCACTGGAAATAGTTCTTGCTTGAATTCTCTGGCACTTTGGGTGACTTGAAATGGGACATAAAACTATTTTACACTGTTTTTATTGGATTTTCTCATATATAACAATCCTTAATATAATGAATTAGAAGGCTGAAAAAAATTCCAGGCTTTATTACATACCCTGTTACATACAAATGTGTACCTGCACCAACAATGGTGAATTTTATTACTACTATTGTTAAACAATACACTGCAGATGTGTGGACAAAAGCTAAACTTCTTACCACCACATCTTATAAGTTGGATGCATTTCTAGGTATAAGCAGTCATACAGGTAATTCTCGCTTACCAATCATTCAGCACCCATTTGAAGTTACAATGGCACTGAACAAAGGACAGCTGTAACCAGTCTTCAAAGGCTACCCCTGTTGCAGTGCCCCTAAGGTCATGTGATCAAAATTTGGGTGTTGGGCAATTAACCCACATTTTCAACTGTAGTATACACCTCAACAGCTGCCAGCCACCTACTATTCCCCACCATCTCTGCCCCTTTGGCTGCCCTGAATGAGAGTGTGGCCCTTGGATGCCCATAGCAGAGTGGCAAAGCCTCTGTCCAAGGGCCTGGCTGTGGGGTGGGGCTGATGGAGGAAGAAGGGCAGTAGTACAGGCAGTGGTTCCCTGGGTAAGGTGAGGGCTGTCAACTCTGTGAAAAGGCCTTCATCAGGACAACTGTCACCCACATTACCACCCAGCCTTTGCTGGCTCTGTCCTGCTATCTTCTTCTCTGCCAGGCCCAATGAACTCCCTTTGGCAGACAAGGCTCTGCTGCCTCCAGTTATGTGTGTCCCAGATGTGTACACTTGCCCACTACCTCGATACCAGACCAGACCAGAACGGCAAAAAACTGCTGGTGGCAGTCAGAGAGGGCTGGGAAGTGGCAGTCAGATGAGACCCAAGAAGCATTTCTGATTTAATGGTTGCCCTTTAGAATGAGCTCCCAACCACCCCCAATGTTTAGTTGATCTCGTTGCTGCTGATCCTTAGAAAGTTTTCAAAGACTTGACTATTCCCCAAGCACTGGGATCAGGAGTCCTGTTGGGAGAGTGTGCAAATGTGAGCCAGATCCCCTATTATTGATAGTTGTTATGTTGTTGTTTTATCTTGGATAACCTTTTTCTTGCAAGATTCTCAAAGTAACCCTGGTTAAGCTGAACAGCCATATAAACTTTAAATAAAAATGTTTTTTTACTCTCACAAGAACTTCTGAAAAAGAGAAGATACACTTAACATAATGTGAATTAAGGTGTATTCCAGGAAGCAGAGAGAGAAGGGTGAAGCAGGGAAATCGGGGTCAGGTATTAAAAAATAGGATTTTCCCTGGTAAATAGAAATAATTGCATCAGCCGAATGCCCCATTTAGCTTCTTTATAGACTTCCCAAGTCTATCAAAAAGACATTTTCCTTAGTCTCCTATCTTGGACATCAAGATACTCCTTTTGAATTGTTGATAATCTGTTAATTATTACATTTATGGAAGAGATCCAATCTAAAAAGCTAAAGAAAAATTTCCTAACAGTGAAAATAGTTAATCACTGGAATGGCTTGCCTCCAGAAGTTGTAAATGCTCCATCAATGGAGGTTTTTAAGAAAAGATTGGACAGCCATTTGTCTGAAATGGTATAGAATCTCCTGCTTGAGGAAAGGGTTGGACTAAAAGACCTCAAAGCTCCTTCCAACTCCGTTATTTCCTTAGCCTCTTATAAGTTTTCTTTATCCTAAGGTTAGAAAAACCTGCAGTCCTCCAGAAGTTGATGAACAATTCCCAGCAACCTCAGCCAACCATGATGAGGTATAATTCAACAGTTTCTGGAGAACCACAGGCTTCTGGATCTTTGACCTTAAAAAAATAAAACAGCTTCTAAATCAGGGCTGTCAAACTCCCAGCCCGCGGGGCAGATGCATCACGCACTGGCCATGCCCACACCCAGTTTAGCAAAGGGGGAAAAGGTCCCAATACGTCATGTGATGCCACCAGGACGCCAGGAGTTTGACACCCCTGTTCTAAATGAGTGGCAGAAAGATGATTAAATAATAAATCACATCACAAAGGTGATCAAAATAAAGCCTTTGCCATAGGTTTGTACATGAGGATGGTAGAGAGATGGCTAATGATTCTTGTTATGAAAATAAAAGCATTGTCAGCATGTGTCTATTTTCATCTCCAAAATATAGAATATATAAGTGGTAGAAAAACAGGTCAAAGAGATAAGCTCTTAAAAAATACAGAAGCATAAGATGGCTAAATAGTGTTTTCTATCAGGCATGGACACAACAAACTATGAAATTCCTTTCTTGCCCTGACTTGATCAGGAAAAGGTCCAGAAGAATACAATGTTCATTTTTTAAAAATGTTATAAACACTTATGAAAAAGAAAGAAGGCAGGAGAAAAGTTCATTTAAGTCCTTGACTAAAAGAGGCTACTTCTGCTGTTGTAAAAAGGCACTTAAACTGTTCCAGTGTAATTG